AAGATGTTTCTGAATGCTTTTTAGGTGTACTACTGAGAATTTTACATAGATCTTAATACCTCTTTTTTTAAAAAACTTAATGTAATGGATCATCTAAAAGTTGCTAGAAATACACCAGGATTCTTTCTTCACAACTGAAGTCATTAATGTCAGTTTGTGTCTGTTATACTTCCTTGTTTCTATATCTCTTTTATTCATCCACAGTGCAAGTTAAAGTAAGGGAATAGAGGAGAAATTAAAATTCCAATTATTTTAAATCTTTAAAATTACTAGTAAGAAGGCAGAGTGAGTATGTTCTATTTCCTTTACACAGAAATTTCTGTGGAAAATCGTCATTTTTTGAGCAAATGTGTGTAGTTTATTTGTGTATACCCATTCTCAGTATCTTAGAATTATAGAATGGTTGGAGTTGGAAGGGACCTTAAAGATCATATATTTCCAACTCCCTGCCATATAAAAGAATAAAATCTTTCAATCTACATACATATCTTGCTGATGTTGCTGATGTTAGAAATTTTCTTAAAATTTCTGCTTATTTGATTATACTTACATAATACTATATTATATGATATTCTGTTGTAGGGTTTGCAGTATCATATAAGGATTTACAAAATTTTGTATTTTGTAAATACATGTTTGTTTCTTAGATGCTGATCTTTTGGAAGATGACCTTGGAGCAATGGAGCCTGAACCATACGAAGCACCAGGTATAATTTTGTTTTTCCAAGCTTGGTAATACTGGTTTTCTGCCTAAACATAGCAAATTATGTGAGAAAGCAAAACAGAAAAGGTTAGACTGGTTTAGGATAGATAATTTCTGATTTATCTTTTTTTTCCTCCAAACAACTATTCTTGATTGTGTTGGATTTTTTTACTTTTACTGAGATGACTGTATCATATTTGCTATTTCAAATGGTTCTTAAAAAGAATGATGATGGGTATGGAAACTTTGTCTTCTTTGATGCAAAAACTACATTTTACTTTTCTATGTGTTTCTGGCTGTTGCATATGATCTGGATCTGGGTAGGCAAGAGATCTGTGGTTGTACAGTCTAAGAAAGTGAGAATGAGATTTATTGCTTATATCACTATCTTCATAGAGTCTACAATGCTAAGGTTGTTCTAGCCTGTTATTCGCAGCATTAGTCAGAAACTTGTGTTCTCATGTGGATCCTGTCACCTTTCAGAAGCATCCAGTTTGTAACCTTTCCTTCAGGACCATTTGTTTCTTTATGGCCAATTATACTATCATAGAGTGAGTCAGTGCCAAGGACTTAATTCTGAACTAGCCTTGCACTGTCTTTCTGCACACCTTAGTTAATCTTTAAAACTTTTTGGAATTTTGCCTGGATTATTCTGGTTAGTTTATTCATCTTCATATTGTGCTTGATATTGCATACAATGGCATTAGCTCATCTTTCCCATTATGAAGAAACATAAGGTGGATATTACAGTTTCCCTGCTACCTGCCAAGTATTTTCTGCTGGATGTTAATAATGCTTGGTTATGGTACAGGTAGCCTCTTCCATTTACATTAGACATTGATTTCCGTTTGGACTAAGCTTCTTATCTTTGGCTTAATGTTAGTTCTGGACTTTACAGTTCTGTTTGATGCCAAGTGTGACAGAAAAATAATTTTATTTGTTAGATGCATCTAAAACTACTTATCGTTATCTTTGTGGGAGATTACTGCTTTCCAGTTACCAATTTAGAGTTCAAGCTGTGATGGCTTCAAGTGAAAGAGTAGTTACTTTACCTTCAGTTCCATATGTTAACAGATGTATCATGCTGAGCATATTAATAACACTGCAAAGAATTGTAGTCACAGAGGAAAATAATCCACATATTTAGCTAGGTCTGTGATGCCTGAAGTGAATGTACTTGTTTCTCAAGGTCTGATTTCTGGCTTTTATCTTCTGTAGATCATCACCAGTAGTCCTCCTGGACATCAGTAAAGAAGCTCCTTTAGAACTTTGAGGATAGGGGAAGATTATGGGGTTTTTTATTCCTATTAAAATAATTATTAAAAAAATGATGGAGGCTAATGGTTCTCATGGATGCAGATTTCATACGTAGAGTATAACACATGAATAGAAGAGAGAGTGGCCCAACACCTTCCATTAGATTGCCATGTGTCAAGTTGCAAGTTTCGGTAAGATTTTAATTTGTCAGTTTTCAACTAAGGACCTACATTTAGCTATTGACAGGCACATTATGGATGCAAGTTAAAATAATCAAGCGTATAAACCAATTTTATTTCAACAATACTTATTTTTCATATTTGATTTACAGTTTCATATGAATATAATACAGATGTGGAACATACATTAAGTGATCCAGAAGCTCCAGGTTTGTAAATTTTCATGGCTTCAGGTGATAATATAATGACTTATGCTTATTTTTTTAAACCTGCTTCAAAGTAGTGTGTCATATTGGCTGTTTCATCGCAGTTTTATTTTCAGTTTTTTGGGTAGTTTCACATAAGCCTGATTTTTGCAACTGTGTTACCATTAGATTTGTGAACATACCGCTCCAGAAATTCAGTCCAGAAATACATAAATATGTTTTTCTGTCAGGAGTCTTCCAGTCTAATCAATGGATTGTCAAAGACCTACTTGTAAATACACATGTGCATGGACTTACTATATTGTGTGACTTAGTGTAGCTTCTTGAACGTGTTTTACAACCCAGCTGGCACTTTCAAATAAAACACTGTAATATTAACTCAGTACAATTAGTTGTTATTCTTGAGCTAAATGTGATCTTTTAAACTTCTCTTGTGCTATTTAATTGTTGCATGAAAATTTGATTGGAATATAAAATATTAAATATTTTTATTTAAGGTGACTCTGAATTAATGCTAGAAGATGCTGTGGAACATTATGCAGGTACACTGCAAAGTCTTATTTCTTTTTATTGAAGTTTCATAATATCTTGTCCCCAAACCAAGAGAAACAAAAAACCAAAAAAAAACAACAAAAAACCCCCAAACAAACACAAAACCGAAAACCAAACTAAAACCCCAAACAAAAAAACCAAACCCCTGATGCTCATAGATAGCATCAGTTCCATAGTGAGTTACTACATCATATTTCTATTCTGAAAAAATATGAAGATCTACATGAAGTGCTAGGACAAGGGGTAATGGCTTCAAACTTAAACAGGAGAGGTTTAGATTAGATATAAGGAAGAAGTTCTTTACAGTGAGGGTGGTGAGGCAGTGGAATGGGTTGCCCAAGGAAGTGGTAAATGCTCCATCCCTGTCAGTGTTCCAGGCAAGGTTGGACAGAGCCTTGGGTGACATGGTTTAGTGTGAGATGTCCCTGCCTGTGGCAGGAGGGTTGGAACTAGATGATCTTAAGGTCCTTTTCAACCCAAACCATTCTATGATTCTATGAATACTACTGTAATGTCATCCAAACTGGCAGAACTGTGTTTTGATGGTTAGATTTCCAGTTTGTAATGTAAATTGCATAGAAATGTTTCTGTGGGTAAAAAATAATTTGAATTTGCCAACAACGTTGAAGTTGGCATGAAAAGTGTCAGGAAAAAAGTTGTATCTTAAAAAAAAAAAAAAGGTTTGCAAAAAACCACGTAAGTCATAGCAGGAGGATTCTAAATTGTAGAAGTTTTCTGTGTATAGAAATGATCTAAGAGTATTTTCATTCTGAATGCTAGGTAATTTGTAGATGAGTTCCTGAACTGCGTAAGAAAAGCCTGCTCATAGTGTTTTATCTTTTTTAAGTCTATCTTGCGATGCTAGAGTATGATTGAGTTCTTCCTACAAGATCTCTTAGAAATCTTCACCTTTGTTGAACTCTTAATAACTTTAATACAGTATAAAATGCTATAGTTTTGATTATCTTTTTTGGTCTGAATAAACCGTACATTATTATTTGTGTGTATTTAATGTCTTAAAATTCAATGATTTTTACATTGATTTTTTTCTTTTTTTTTTTTTCTTTAAACAGAAGATACAGTGCATGACAATTATAATGAAGGCCATGGTAAGACAACTGCTGTACTTTGTGAAATGATAGTATCCAACTCTTGCATTAATATGAAAGTGAAATTACTTTGTCTTAACGTTTTCTATGCTGTCACATTACTTTGCAAGTTCTAAGTTAAGGTTTTTGGGTTTTTTATGTTCAAATCCCCTATGTATGTAAACAATGTATAGCACTAAATCAAGTGTAGAGTATGTGTATAGGTTATATTACCATGTTGGTCCTCTTTAACATGCTTTGTCCATATGTAGTATAAGAATGTTGAAGACTTGACATGCCTTTTTCTAATGAAACAGTGGCCAAGTCAGCTGTGGTTCATTGCATCTCTTAGCTCAGTGTTGCCTCTTCATCTTGTCTGTAACTACCAGTTCTTTGGAAATTACTCTGCTTTAGTTTGACTTGGTTAATGATTTGCTAATGATTGCTTAGACCAAATAAAAAAATAAATGAGAAGATGATTAGTGGTCACAGTCTTAAAACAAAGGCATGTGGTTGTGAATCCTTCTGTGAGATCCTTCTGGGGACTACCATACTTCAGAAAAATTATGCATGTTTTCAAAGTATTCTTGTTTATTTTTGATGTTTATTTAACCTGAGCAAAGGACAGTGATTCTTAACTTCAGAATATTTCAGACAGAAAACCTTGAGGTTTATTCTTTGCCATCAGGAAAGAAATTCTGACAACCATCTTTGGGTTAGAAGTCAAAATCCCATTGAAGGGCTTTCAGTGGCCCAAAGGTGTATTTAGCCCTTAGTGTATGTTTTTCTCAGTGTGCAGAAAAGAATTATTTGCCTCAGCTATGGTGGCCTTGATGAAATGTGTCAGCTTCTATAGGATGGAAAAGTAAGACAGACCTAACTTCTTCCCTAGGCTTATTGTTTACTCTCCTTTCCAGGAGACACTTATTTTACAATCAGTTCCTAATCAGGAATCACTTCCTCTTGTTTCTCACATCTATATATGAATGAGAAGTGCAACTTCTAAGCTTTACTTTTCATGCTCCTTCATATCGAGTGGTGACATGAACAGAGAACACTTCCATGGTTCCTGCCCTCAAGAAGAGTCATCTATACCTGCTTTAGTAGTAAGATGATCAGGGAGGTTTCCAAAGTAATTTGCATCAGTTTTTCATAGAATTAGTTCCAAAACTATAGCTTATTCTGCAGTCTCTTGTGGTGCTCCCCCACCCCCAGTAACGTTGAATCACTCTATTTTGTAAGTTATTCATACTTTTTTAGTATTTTTTTAAAAAATCTTATGTAAATAATTTTTTCATATGAGGGTTAGTACCTGTTATGATCATGAAATTGTCCAAAACATTGGATGAACATTGAAATTCTTTAGTTCTAAAATTCACAATAAATTCATATTGAAAATTCAGACAATTAGTGGATAGCATTTGTCTATTTTCAGATACTAGCTGAAGTAAAATAATGAATATTCTTAACTTATTTCTTCAGAATTTCAAAAATTAGACTGTCTCTTTACTCAGGGGTTAGGAGTGTAGGTGAATTTTATAACTGTACAGAATGATAGCTTTTTTCTTTTCCCCAGTATTTCATCTGTGTAGATAGAAATGCTTGAAATTTCAGTATTATGTTCACATTTGGTATTTGGGTTTTGTCTAGAATTTCTACTACAGTCTCTAGGGTTCATATATCTATTCAGGCCCCCAAGCTAGAGAAAGTCTTTGAGAACTTTGCATGTAGCAGTAATGAACTGGATGCTTAACAAACAAATTTGTAGGATACTCTGCATGTTGACCACTGAGAAACTTTATTTTTCTTTCCTTTCAGAACCAAAACATGAAGAGCAGACTGAGGCTCAAGATACAGGTGTATATATATAAATGTAGATACGTGTTCGTATGTATATGTGTGTGTGTGGGCAGGGTGTGTGTTTACTCCCACACACATCCATCATCTCCGCATTGATATATATGGAGCATATTAGAAAAAACTTTGTTTCCTATGTAGTTAAAGTAGAAAAACCTCCAAAATAAATGTTAGTGGACTATAAATAGTTTTTGAAGTCAGAGAAATATTTTAGTCAGGTTAGCATAAAATCATTAACTAATCCTGTTACTTATATATATATTAAAATACGTAGTCTGTGTGATTTTCAATCACGATGTATTGTCGATTATACCAAAGGTTCATTACAGTCTGTGTAGATATAAAGTCAGGGTTTTGACTACTCATCTCTAAGGTCTCAACTGAAACAAGGCGAGTATGTGAGGCTTTTTATGGACATTTGGAACACAGTAGTTCTGCATAGACACTCAATCTGCTGCCTACCGTGAGCTTTGCTCATAAGCTTGTAACCAGTGCTTAAGGTGATTCAAAATTTACAGGCTGAGAATATTAACTCTGCTTTGATGCATACGTTCTGCTACTGTTAAAAAATTACTTGTCTGCAGTGCTTTCTCCAAGTCCTGTATACTTTGAGGTCTTGAATTACCAGCTCTTTTGAGAGTCTTCTCAGATTGCTGATTGAAAAAGACACAATTGTTTAGTTTAGAATGAAGTCAAGAAATTCTCTAGCATAAGTAAATTTTACATATTTGTTTTGTCATGTTTGTGCTCAGAAGTTTAAGAGGACAGTGAAATGAGTTAAAAGGTGCCATATTCAAATAAAAATTAAAATAATTTATTTTTCCATGGAATCCATAACTTTAAGTGGGAGAATTTGTTCATTGTCCTTCACAAAGAAAAGTAGGACTCACCAGGAAATTGCATGTTTATCAAATAAAAAGCCTGTTAAAGTGAAAGTTTATAGAGGGTTGCTTTTCTTTTTTTGTTGGTTTTTGATGTGTAGCAGATGGAGTTGATGCTGCAAAAGGTGAAAGTGGTAGTATTGGTCATGCTTAAAAAGATTAAGGAGTGTTTTTAAAATTTCAGTTTTTAAAGTGTCTTAATACAAACAACATTTATTCAGAAGGTACAATTTTGAAATATTTACCTAATGAATGCACCAATTCTTCAGTGAAATGGGGAAGAAAATTTAAGTAACTCATAGGGGGATTTTCCCTCAAATTCGTTGAAGATCCTGTTTGTTTATAGCAGTTTACTGTTCACAGTTAAACATGCCTGTGTGCTAGCTCTGTTCTTCTGTGTTGTTTGTGAGTTCGATCAGTTGAGAGTTTGAATTCATTATTGCTCTGAATTGAACGTTTTCTTAGCTGTCAAGGACCTTCTAGAGGATGTGAATGAAGCCACAGATCCAGGTACATATTTTGTAATTCTTATCTTAAAGTGTTTTGATGAAACTAGTTTGAAATAATTTTGAAATCTGTAAATGTAAAAGCAAACAAATGAAAAACACATTATATACTTTTTTTTTCTTTTTATACTTTCTTTTATATATGAAATATCAGAAGATTTTTATTTTGGTAAAGAGTTGTCAGGTTGTCAGGTAGGAGGTTTTAGTTTGTGGAAAAAAAAATAATTCTTCCACCTATATTCATCAATAAAATTTTAAAAAAACCAAACAAATGAAAAGCAAAGCAGAAAAATGTGCTATATAGATTCATAGAATGGTTTGGGCTGGAAGGGACATTTAAAGATCATCTGGTCCAACTCCCCTCCTGTAGGCAGGGACATCTTTCACTAGACCTAGTTGCTCAAAGCCCCATCCAGCCTGACTTTGAATACTTCCAGGGATGGGTCAGGGGTGTCTGCTGTGTTTATTTAGATTTTCCATTTGAAAAATGTGTACTAGTATAATTAAATGGGGGAAAAAAGCCATTATTGTTTCACACAACCAACAATTTTAACCAAAATCTCTTTTGGGTTTTGGGGGGTGTAATATGAATGGATACCAATAACGAAGAGGAGCTAAACTTTTGGACATGGAATGCATTCAGTACCTTTTTTATACTCTTATCCTAGCTGGTTGTCCTGCAGTTTAAGTCTTCCTTTTTGTTTGATACTAAATTGTGTGGGTGGCTGGTGGGAAATAAAAACAAAATTGTAAACATGCTGTATGTAGCTTTCAACAGTTATTTTCTTTCTAACAGTAGAAAGTGAGCATACAGAAGATCTTGTGGCCACTGAACCAGAGGAATCAGGTTTGTATATTATCTTTTGCATGAGTTTGCTACTAAATAAATAATTTAGAATAATAGGTATGATAGAGTGGAAGTCTGTGCTGCAATAAAAATACGTTCATAACTTTTCCTGCGGGTTTTTTTGTGGTTTTTTTTGTTTTGTTTTTCTTTTAAGGACAACTATAACTGTGGTGTTGAAATCTAGCATATTGGGGTTTTGAATGATAATATTTTAATGGCTTACAGAGCACTCTTCAGTTTCAGAAGTTGAGAGTGCTTCCAGTTCAGAAAAACTTAACTTACATTGATTAAAATGGCCATATTACACCATATGAAACTGAAGATTTCTTTGCTATGCTCTGTTTTCTACCAGCCAGTCAGTACTCCATATTCATGAAAGACAGTATATGTTAGAAATAAAATGGAATGTCTCTCCAGTTTGAGCACTTGATTTATGGGCTTCCCAAGTCAGAGAATATATTTTCCTCTCTCTGATTCTTATTATCTACAGCCAGCATCCTGGCTATTACAAATTCTTTTCTCTGACTCCCTTCATGCATGAACAGGGAGCTATGTTTAACCTTCAGTCTATCAGCAGTAATGGCACTCAGTGACACATGACATGTCTAATTTAAACATATATATAGAATTAGAAAGAACTGAATTTTGAAGTATTTCACAGTTACAGCTGGGAACATGCTAAGTATATGAATGTTTTCTAAGCCCTTACTGTAAAACTGTGGGAGATTTGTGCTTCGAATAGTTTACTTTCAGAATTTTGAAGTATCTTTTTTGAAACTCATTGGCTTATTTAAGTATTAATCTTTCCCCTGGAAAAATTCAGCTGAGGAAAATTTGCATCAAACCTCTGCAGAAGTATTAGAGTAGTCTTGATAGGTCACTGTTTTGAGCATAAAGGATAAAAATGCAGCTTTTTGTGAATATTTAGTGAACATCCAGTTTGAATTGTTTGTATGCTTTTGACTTACAGAAATTCCTGTTAAAGCTGAGGATCATTCAAACGACAATCTAGTGGGTAAGTTTATCTTAAATGCTTGGGTTTTTTCCGTAAGAAATGTAGCTACAGCTATATGGAATTTTTTTAAAGAAATTACTTCTTGGAAGAGAGTGTAAGTATATCAATATTGTCATTTAATATTGCTTCCTGGTTTTGAGGCAGTAGTTTTCATATTGTACTGGATTAATGCTGTTAATAGTTCCAGCTTATATGGAGGCATTCCAAATAAAACTGAGTAGTTTGTAAATTTAAACTTAATTTTTAATGATTTCAGACAAAACTGGATACTCTTGCTGCACAGGGAAATAGAAAATTGCAGGTCTCAAAATATGTGTGTATTTCCTTTTCGGAGTAACTGAGCATGGGTGATGATACTGTCACTTCTCTGTGTATCAGTCAGATCTGTTGGAGTCTGACTGTGGCACATTCTTTGGGTACTGATCTAGAAGCAGGACTATTTTGTCATGCCATCACGTTTTTCTTGACAAAACTGATTTTAAGAACAAGAGCACTTCCAGCTTTTCCTGTCTCTTGACAGTAGTAAGCACATAGTTTACCAAACCATTTTTAGATTAGACAAATTGCTTCTAAATTTGAAGACTGTGTATTGCTACATTTCATTTGCTTTTTGGAGATAATCTTTGCAAGTTGCTAGTTTGTTCTTTGAAATGGAGCAGTTGTGTTGAGCAAAACACTTGAGTTGTACCTCTGGGCAGTAAATCACGGAAGCTGCAATCCAAGAGCCCTGACAGCTATATTTCTGTTTTGTTCGGATTAGCCTGAGCACCTTTCTGGCTTAGTTGATCTTTGCGATATGCAGAAGCTCTTATGTGGTGTGTTGCCATGTAGTTCTGTGGGGTTTTGTTTTTCCTTGCAGGAAAGGAAATTTGTATTTGGTTCTTGGGCCTGCCAAAAATAGCCGCAGAAGTGAAAAAACATGGGAGGCCTTTGTGGTTGCCCAGAAAAGATTTGAGGCATGGTTTAGTTCATGTTTTAATTTACATGCTGAACCTTAACTGAGGTGATTTGAAATGCTCATGTCAATATATAACTGTGTTGCCTGTGAAGTCTTTCTAATGTGTTTATCTTAACAGTTATATAGTGTGTTGAAATGTTTGAAGGCATAGGTATTTATTAATAGATGCTCTATCTAAAAATGTTCTGTTTCATAATTAATATGAAATATTCTTAACAAAAGTTTATTATCAGCACAGGAAGAAGCAGTAGTTACCTTTGACAGTGTAGACAAGAAATTCAGCAAAGGTAGTATTCAGGTGATTTGTTGTGCTTTAAGTTGGAACTGTAGTAGAAGAATATATGTTTTCGGCAGAAAATGGTGCTGCTTAAAGTTAAAATACCAGAAAGTTCTTTACAGGACGATTGCAAAATGTCAACAGTAGGTAGCTCTGCACAGTGTCAGTTGTATTGATATAAGGATGTTGAGATGATCTTTTGACTTACATATATTATTTTAAAACTAAATTCAGAATCCAGGTATCAACTTGAAATCTTTAATTTTTGGTTCTGTGGACCATATTCCATATCACTTCGTGTGCTATAATTTACAGCTCAGTCTTGCAGCAGTAAATGAATTTCCTACCTTCACCATAAAAACTTCAGTGTATCGTACAGTAGTGGATGGCTTTCCAAATATTCCATTTAGAGTCGTAGATCATTCAGTCCAGCCATAAATCCAACACTGCCAAATCCACCAATAAACCATTTCCCTTAGATCATGTGTACATGTCTTTTAAATACCTTCAGCAACGGTGACTCAACCACTGTCCCAATGTTTGACAACTTTTTCAGTGAATAAATTTTTCCTAGTATCCAGTCTAAACCTCCCCTGGTACAACTTGAGGCCATTTCTTCTTGTCCTGTCGCTTGTTACCTGGGAGAAGAGACCAACACCCACCTCACTACAACCTCTTTTCAGGTAGCTGTAGAAAGCAATAAGGTCTCCCCCTGAGCCTTCTCTTCTCCAGATTCAACAACCCCAGTTCCCTCAGGCATTTCTCATAAGAGTTGTGCTTTAGACCCTTCACCAGCTTTGTTGTTCTTCTCTGGACACGCTCCAGCACCCCAATATCATTCCTGTAGTGAGAGCCCAAAACTGAGCACAGTGGTCAAGATGTGGCCTCACCAGTGCCAAGTAGAGTACAAAGGAACAGACACTTATTTAATGGCAGATGGACTTTCAAATAAGATGGTGGAATTGTTATCTACTCTACTTTTATTGTACTGTGATACAAAGAGAGTCCTTACTATTTTCGGACACCATTGGAATAAAAAATAACTTACATTAACCTGCAATAGTATGTATTTCTGATCCTTTTGAAAAGTTTTTTAGATTTAATTTTGTACCTTCAGTTATTTTCAAAACCAGTGCAATATACTTTTTGAACCACAAGATTAGCCTTAGCTCTGTCTTGGTGTATCTTGTGGAAATAAACAATAATAGCAGCACTTGAAGGAGTGAATTTTTTTATTAAACCTTCATGGGGAAAAAGTGAAAGAATCAGTCACAAAATCATGGAATGGTTTGGGTTGGAAGGGACCTTAAATATCTAGTTCCAACCCCCCTGCCATGGCCAGGGACACCTCACACTAGACCAGGTTGTGCAAAGCTTCATCCAATGTGGCCTTGAGCACTTCCAGGGACAGGGCATCCACAACTTCTCTGGGCAACCTGTTCCAGTGTCTCACCACTCTTACAGTAAAGAATTTCTTCCTAATATCATCTAAGTCTCATTTCTATCAGCTTAGAGCCATTCCCTCTTGTTCTGCCACTACATGCCCTTGTAAAAAGTCCCTCTTCGGATTACTTGTTGGCCCTGTTTTAAGTACTAGAAGGCTGGTATGAGGTCTCCCCTGAGCTTTCTTTTCTCCAGGCTGTTTATTCAGTTATTAAACACAAAAATAACTATTAGATGTAGTACCATGTATGTGATTCTTTGTTTAGCAAGTAGAAAATGAAAAATTATTTGATCAGCACAAAATCTGCAATGGTGTACCAACATACTCAAGAATCTTTGGTGATTTGTGTAGTTATGTGGGAACCACTTTGAAGGTAGAAGAGTCATTATTTATCAGTTTTATGTAGAAAGCTTATTGTTTTGGCACATGCAGTGAATTTCAAATAGCATCTCTGAAAATCGAGAAAAGAAACAGGGGACATAATTAAACTACTAACCAGGAATAAAAATTTTACTACTTTTAGTATGATTTCCTGCTATTATGTTTACCCAGCTTTTTTGGATGTGAATATTCTCACATTTTCCTCTTAGACCACGAAACTCGTATTTTTTACTTTAGGGTTTTCATTATTATTTGTGATGGAGGATTTAGTATGAGAGTTTTTGTTATCAGAAGTCTTGTTCATGTGATTTCATTTCTCAGGTATTCAAAGCTAGTATTTCCTCTTATTTCAGCAATAATAATATTGAAGTTCATTGTACTAGAGACAGAGAACTCTTTTCTGAATAAAGAACACATTTATATGCATATGCACTTTTTACATACATGAAAGGTATATCTATTTATGTAATAAACATAACTTCAGCCAGTGTAAAGGGTATTCAGAAATATCACTGTAGAGTCCTTATTCTTAAGTGTAAAAGCATGATGGCACCAGTTTTTATAAGGTTAGGAGCGATTCAGTTTTTATCTGAAACATAGGATCTTACTTGTTTTGTAAAGAAAACGCGCAGTAGCTCAGAGGATGAATTTAGCTATGAGGAACATTCTCATATCCTCAGTGAGGAGATTGGGTGTGGGACTTGAATATGCTGGAGTGCAAGTCAAGTTTTTTGCTGACTTCAGGGCACAGCACAAAATAAATGCAGTAGGCAGCTACATCCTTAGGTATCTGTAGGTAGTGTTTTCCAATTTTGTAAGTTTTCTTCTAAAATAATTACCGGTATTCCTTTTCAGCAGTAAGATATTTGAACTGTAGTTATAGCCTGTGTTCTTCCAAACTAATGCATTTAAGTGGTATGAGAGGCCAGTTTGATTTTTTTCTGCTAATCCTATTTTACACTGGCAGGGAGGGTTACTTGCTGGAGACATATTTTAAGGGAGTCATAGGTTATGGGATACTTTTACTCTCTCTGTCTTAGTATTTTGATCTCTTTTGTATATGATCAGATTTAAAATATCTAAGTGTTGTTCCACACCCCCTGCCCCCTCCCCCTTCATCTATATTTTACCAACTGCTGAAATCCCTTACTTATAGAGAAATTTCCACTTTAGAACTTTGACCCTTCCTCATTCCCCAGCTCCTCTTTTCCCACTGTAAGTGTCCTTGACTTAAAAAAAAAAAAATAAAATAATAAATTTTAATGTATATGTGCCATGGCCTAGATTTCCTTTACAAGGTAAATGAAGTGCCATATGCTTAGATACATTTAGTTTACATTTCCCATCTTATACAGCAACTTTGTGCATATTCCTTATGATAGCTCCTAGAAATAGTAGCTTTTTCAAATTAGCTAGTCTGATACAAAGTTGCATTTTTTAGCATTTAAGATTAAGAGGGTTTTTTTTGTGATTGTTTTAGAGTAAGTTGTGTTTTGGTTGGTCCTTTAATATAGATTTCCCCTTATTTTTTCAGATACTTAACGCTTCAAAAGAAAAGTCCCTACATCAGGAGGACCAGCCCTAACCATACGCTACAAAAGGGGAGCAGATGGTTGTAATAGATCTTATGATGTAATTACCAAGCAGTTCAGGGTTTGGGGAATGAACACCAAGATACTGTAAATGAGTTTTAGCCAACTGTCATTTTAGTAAGTTTTTTTAACACTTGGATGTTTAATTTACATTCCTGTCTGATTTCTCCCCTCTCCCCCCTTGGTAAAGTTTAGTGAATTCATTATTTTTCTTCTGTGTTTGTGATGGAGTTGCAACTTTGAGCTGCATTTCAGATGTGCTGTTCAAGCAATTGTTAATATTCTATTTATAACGCGGCAGCAAGTACATTTTTTCAGATTTTAGTGTATATCTTTTGTTGTGGATTCATACAGTATGTACAGAGCAGTTTGGTCACTTGAAACGCATATTATGAATTTTTAGATGTTTAATAACTGCTGATATAGCATACAGCCTAACTGCCTTTTATTGAAAACACTAATCAGGCACACACTATGCTGTGAAGTTTGACTTGTATCTCTTTGCACTGATGTTATGTCAACAGTTACGCTACATGGATTTCAGGTATTTTTAAAATAGTCTAACAAGGTACAAAATGTGTATTTTTTGATTCATGCAGGGCAGTTTACTAAATTACTTTTTTTCAGAAAACTTTTGTGTGTGAATTCAAACTTCTTATTTATTCACATTTGATTTTTAAAGCAAAAATGTCTAGAAACTACATAATAGCTTGGCGGGGAGTCAGTGTACATTGCAGTGAAACTGAGTTGCTGGAATCAGATTGAATTCAGCAAAATAATAAAAATAATAAGAAATAATGCTGAATGTAGTAAGCTTTATATTCAGTGAATTAATTTAAGTCAAATTTGCTTAAATACTTGACTTGTAAATTTTATTTAAAAAAATTGGAAATTCAACCATAAGAAAATAGGATATCTAAATTTAAGACCTAAAATCATAAATGCTCTTGTAAATGGTGTGTCTGAAATTTAGACTTCAAATGATTTAGAACTGTAATATAACAGGTGTACTTTCTACCTGTTCTGTGCTGCTGTTCCACAATTACAAAGATGTGTTTTTTTGCTGGCATTTTGCATGTTTTTCTTTTTGGCTCAGGAATGATTGCCATGATTTTAGAAAATTGCGAAGCCTGAAATGGGAGGTTAGAAGAAATAAGATAAATCTTGAAGGAAAAAAAAGTCAATTTGGTAACCCTAATAGTGGTTGCCTTTTGATCGACAGGGAAATTTTAGATTTCTGTAGCACTGTTTTGAAGTCAGGTTTTTAGTTGCTTACATTTATAGTGAAAGGGGCATCATATATGCTTGCCTTTTTTTGTTTGGGATTTCAGGAAGACTCCACTTAAGTGAATGGTACATCTGATCAACAAACACAGATGTCCCAAAGTGATTTCTTTAGACATTTCAGGAAAGCAATAATACTCTTAGACTGTGATGTGGTTTGGGATGGGATATTCTAGTAAAATCACCTGTGATTGTGAATTGCAGAGCAATAATTTTTACAAAGCCATATTTTGTGAGGAAACTTGGGAATAATTTTAGAATGGTGGATGGAGGACTTTTTATATAACAGTGGCAGCCTATTTGTAGAATTATGGGACTGTGAGAATATATTATGCTGTGATCAACTTTTAAGTATTTTGTAACTGGGTATGTGATTTTACGTGCTTCATGTTTACAAAAGTATGCCAAGCTGAGCAAGGTCAAGTGGACATTAAAAAATGTATATTTAATCTGTTTTAATGTTTGGCTGCAATAAAACACAGAAGAATATACTTGTCTTTCTAGTGTCATTATTTTTTCTGAAATGTGGTAGATATTAATTACAGGGATAAATATTTGCCCCAGCTACTAGTTAACATTATTATTTTTCAAAGTAACAATTTTGAATGTTTAAAAGTATATTTGAAAGATACTATTTACAAGGAGAAAGAAATGTAGCAAGTAGAAGTAATTTTTATTTCTGAATGGTATTATGTGAAGGAAACAGGCATTTCTTTAAGCATTTCTTTAAGGTCTGTGTCTTCAAGAATTGTGTTGTTTCTTCTTTTTGCAACCAGTTTGGCCTGAATTTTGTCTATGATACGTATTTGTAACTTAAAATGGATATCACTCTTTAACAAACGCTAATGTATGTGGGAAGTAGGATACCTACCTTTCATAGAGACATATTCTGGGTTATGGTCCAACGTTTAAATCGGAAATCTAGCAAGGGCATGGTGTCTATGCAGTTCTCTGTTTCAACACAAAAATCCTCCCTGACCTTTTCAGTTTTCAAACAGCTTCGTATTTTTATGATGAAATATTGCTGAATAAAGAACTGTAGTTAAAAGTCAAAAGATTACACCTTTATATTTTCACATTGCTACATTGTGTCTTGCTATATCTCAGCGAATCTGTGAAATCTTTGGTTTTTTGAGAATTACAGGAAGAAAATACCAATAAGGAAAGCAAATTTAAATAAAATAATTTTAATATTGAAAATTTAATTGACTTTCACATTCTTAGTAATAGAAAAGGTATCATATCATGACACTATTCTTTCTAAGAAGTAAAGAAAATTGTTAAGTTTAAATATAGGAAAGAAACTGAAATATGACATTTTTACTGAATATCATTGTGTAATTTTGAGTTTCAAAAATTATGTATATTTAAGAAATTGTACACTTACAATGTTCATTTGGTTTCATGCTACAAGATCTGAAACTATTTTTAGTTGGCTAATAATTTGGGTCATGGTTACATAGACTCACAAATATTTATAGACATATTGCTATATGAAAAATAAATTTATTCTTTATGGTAGATACCTTCTTAGGAATACCTGGTGCATACATTACACACTGATAGCAGTCCTAGATTGTAGAGTCTGGTTAAAACAGCTTTGTCTATGATTTTAAACTAGATTTGTTTTGCTGAAAACAGAGAAGTTGTGTAAAAGATGAGAGTGGTTTGAAAAGCTAAGAAAATCTTTTTGTTTGAGCTACAATTGGTTTAAGTTGATGACAAAATAGTCTCAAGATTTACCATCAGATCCTCTTTGAGAGAGCATATTTTTAAACCATATTTTTTTCTCAGATATAGCATACTTAAAACCATTTGCACCATCAAAATAGGCTAGAGATCAGCGTAGAGGGAAAAAAGCAGTATGTGCTGAATATGATGCTGCACTGAATTCGTGCAAAAGCTCAAACAACATCTTCAGAGCTAACAAGATCAAGTTGTGATGAATTTCAAAAGCAGCTGTTAATTTAGCAGAATACAGGTTGAAAAAAGTCTGAGAGAGAATTTGGAGAATTGATCCTAGTACATAACCAACAGGTCTCTGTACCTGTTTGTCTTGTGTGAGCCTCAGTAAGGAAATGCGAAGCTAGGGAGGAAATGGGAGGTGGGAGCGATGACCTCATACCTTCTTCTTCTTGTGATTGAGGAGAAGTTGCAGAAATAACATGAATGTCCCAAGATGGGTGGAAGGTGATTGCTGAGTGACATAAAGGGAATTAAAGAAGAGGTCAGGTTGAGAATATCAAATATTGCTGATAAAGAGAAAGATTCAGGGAAAATGGATTCCTAAGTAGCATACTATATAATGGTTTACTATCCTGCCATGAGTTGTTCATATGCTTTTAGTTGGTAAAAATAGTAGTAATATGAGTACATATACTATTCTGTGTTTCATCTGGAGCTGCATTGTTGCTCTTTTTAAAAATACGATATTTCTGATGCCACACAGATGGACATGACCTTTTTATGTATTGTGTGGTATATTGGAAAAAAAAAAACAACTAGCCAGTATTTTAGCAAGTACTGAAACATGCTTTCATTAATATGCCATTATAGTAATAATGTTCCTTCTCCAGGTTATCCCTTAGTATGTAACTGACTCTATAGGTCTTTTTGTCATCTCTATCAGTTTAATTGACAATCTGGATTTTATGATGTAATTGAAGAGGTGAATGACTTCCAATGTGGCCATATTTATTTAATCTATCATATCATAATCAGGTTAATACTCATTCTGCCTTGTGCTGAATATAAAAATCATTCGTACTGTCTGCACGTTCAGTAGTAGCACCTGTCAGGTTGTAGTAAAGGGTGAAATTAGAATGTGATATAGTTTGATTTCATGTGTGCATATAACTCAGTTTCTCCAGGAAAAAAGCAAAGGTTTTCAGCATTTTTATTTGGTGTATTCACAGTGTAATGCTTCTGAGCAGTCGGTATAAAAAACTGTGAAGATTGAATATTCTGACAAGCTGGTTTTAATTGACTTAGAAATGAAATAAAATGTTTTTCTAGATATAAGTACATCTCAGAAATAAAAAGTATATGTTAGAGAGGAAAACAACTAACTGAAAAGCCAACTGGCCTCTCCTTTTAGTATTTTCTCTCAAGCTTATTGGGAGGAAATACTGGAAGCTTATTGGGATGAAACTGGAAACAGAATAATAATGTTAGAATTGTGTGGCAAGATGCTTTAAACGTTACAGAGTAGGGCAGGATCAAAAAGTGTTGAGAGAGGAGAAAAAGAGAACAAATGTGTCTACATACCACCTTCACAATATAAGCATACATGATTTTGGTACAGTGTGTAGTCTACCTTTTGCTACAGACTGTCTTGTGCTTAGTTAATATTTACCTGTGCATTCAGTTATTTACAAAATGCATGGGTTAAATTATTTGAAAAGTTGAAGCAAGACCAAAGCTTCCAAGTTCCCAAGTCACTTCTGAAAATGAGACCTGGGTTCCTAATTGATTTTAATGTTTTGTACATTTTAATCATATATGTATATATATATAGAGAGAGGAAACTGGTGTTCCCAAGAGTTTTTAATTTTTGAAGAGGTTTTTTTCTTGCAAAATTTTCTTGTAAATGTGTATCACTAAAATCTACCAAATATCTAAGGGGAAAAATTTATGAAATCTTTTGTGACAGAAGCAATAAGGTAATACTTTAAATATCTGCAGATAAAGACCTTTTATGTAACTATTTAGTTCAGACAGTAATCTGTGATTACTTCAAAAAATAAAAATAAAACAAAAAAGTACTATTGGCCCAATGATATTTTGCGTGTAAGCTGAATTTTCTTGTATCTCTTATCTTAAACAGTTAACATAAATTTATTTCAATGAAGTTATATTTTTAATATTCTAGGGAAAAGTGAAAAAGAAACTGAACAAGACAAAACAGAAAAAGGTAAGTCTGAAATTAACATTCTGTTCTGAAATTCAAAAGCATGCTTTCTGGGAGGACTGATTTAAATCAGGTTAAATAGTAGTGAAGCATTGTTCCTGGACAACTTATGTACATAAACTGGAGTTGAATAAACATCCAAAGTGTGTTTGCTTTTGCAAGTAAATACCACACCATCATTTGCAAAGCTGACATCAAGATATTCCCCTTTTACATTGTCACAGGGTGCTGTTAAAAGCTTCTACTGTTTCAGGACTAAAACTCCTAGTTTTTAGGACTCAGGAGGTCACCAAGCTCCTCCTGCATCTGTGGATGAGAAGACAACCTGAGCTGCCCAGCCAAAAAAGCTGGGTTCAGCACTCTGCTGTGCTAAGCCTGGGGAAACAGGTGGCACTAAAACCAGTTCTTGTCAACTCCGTGTTTACCCAGAAAGGGTTTCTGTCTGGCTTAGTTTAGGTAGCAACATGCGGAGGCAGATTTGGTGGAAAAGTGAGGTTTTGCTAAGAGTGTTTGTGAATTTGTTCTCCCTACAATGACATTGGTGCTGGAACCATGCATTTGCTATTACTGCATGGAGCTTGCACAATCTCCTTCACTGGGATCAGAGTTTGTATCTGGTTTTGGCTTATATTGGCATATATTGAATATTCATTTATATTGGTGAATTAATATAATAACTGGAACAATCATTTGTTTGCATTTGTATTTTTTTGAATGGTGTTCTTTCGTACACTGAACATCAGCATAGGTAGTTACAATAATAATTTTCACTTTCCAAAACTAATAAAACATGAAAGTGAAAATGAATGCCATTAGGTTGGAGCACACAGTTGTGTTGCATCAGGGACAGAGGTATACATAAGCCAGGCTTAGGATGATGTCATTCCACAATTAACCCTGCATCATTCTGATACCAGGGTCAACATTCACCTCGGTTTACTATGAGTCTTTACTTTTGCATGGGATATGTAGGATTCCACAGTGGTACCTGTAACCCATATGTCTTGTGGAGACTAAGTGCTGTTCTGGCTAAATGTAATTTTTTGCTATAGAGTGATATGAATTGTCCCCTAAACTTCACTGAGAACCTTTTCCAGAGCTCCACTGGCTATAGGAAGAGCTTACATGCTTCACTCACTGCCAGCATTATCACATTGAGTTAGATAGGCTGAGTTCCACCCTTGTAAGCTCTACTTTTAAGGGTATACATACTACCTTTTGATATACCTATATATTTAGTTGTAGCCTGCATCAAATATGAGCTCTGGGCAGAATGACCAATGTTGTACTTTGTTGGAATGTAGTTCTCAAAGTCCAAAACTATCCTGAACTAAATGTGTAGGACTTAAGAATATTAGCATGTATTTTTGTACAGAAAGTCAATGAAGAGGTTTATTCCTGGTCTTGTCAAATGGTTGCTTGATTCTAACCTTTGAATGAAGCCGAAAGATTTCATGATGAAAGGGAGAGGTGAATGATGGAAATGCATGCCAAAAATAAAATTATCATTCCACAATTGTTTCTTACAATCAACATCTAACCACCCAACAGTAATTTCAGACAGAAAACCCTGTAGAATACTTTTTACTGCAAGGGAAATTGTTCTGAAATAACTGCAGCTAAAGATTTATTATAGTCATTAGATTCCACAGCTTTATTAGTCCCTAAAATGCCTCGCTTTTTATTGTCTGATTGCTTCCCTAGATAAGTTGATTATAGAGGGTTTGTCCTACCAGTACAGTTTAGAAGGATCTTTTAATTATTGTACTGCTACTGGCTTTATATTGTTGAGATGCAGTTACTTGTTTTTATACCTTCTAAGTTATCATTTATAGAAGCCCATAAACCAAGTGGATCACTTACACTATCTGTATCTCACCTAATGAGCTTCCCAAACAACAGGACAGTGACAGGAGTTTTTCATCATCATCAAATTCTCATTCGAGCACCCACTGAGAGGCAGAACAATTTCAAAAACTAATTTGGGTAACTATATGGGCCAGCTATATGGGCCAGTATGAGGAGAGAGGAGAATTACTTGAGTAAATTTTGAATTATGGGTAAAAGTGGTTGGTCTACTAATGTATATATATGTTTTTCAGCCCATAACTGAAACTTTGAAACTTGGACTGGGAAGGTCAGAGTATTTGAGGGAGGAGGTGGGGGGAATTGGTGAAACAGAAAGTCACAAAATTACTTGGAAAAATTACACAGACTGTGATCATCTTTTATCTAATTTATTTAGTTATTTTTGTCTTCTAAGGCACCCATCCACAAGTTGCTAAGGGCATTATTACTGAGTTTGTATCACAGCAGGGATAGGAGGGTGTTTAGAAAACTGAGCCTATGGCTTCCTTGGAAATGGCTTCCTTAGAATTTGACAGTTTAAGGAGAACTGGCAGGAGGAGCCTTTCCTGGGAGTGGCTATGAGACCACATCACATGAGGAGGTTTTATTTCAGATTAGGCTTCGAGATGGCACCCCCCACTTGTCTACTTTTGTCAATGTGCGAGAGAAATAGAGACATCATTGTATGATTAGAACCTCTACAGTTTAAACCTTAAAACTTACCTGCTAGTCGTAAGCACAGCTTACAGTCAGTGCAAAAGGGTTGTTTCAGTGTAGTTTTCAATGCAAAAACTGGAGACTATGTGTCCTCAAGGTGGCTGTGAAGACTGTGGTTTATCTTGAATATTTGTGTGTATGAGTAATTAACTAAAAACCAGTTGTAGCTGCTTTCTGTTTTGAATGCCAGTAGTAGCAGATGCAAGATAGGTGAAGCCACCAGGAAAGCTCCCTTAACATGCTATAATGACAATAGGAATAAACATATAAAACTAATCACAAGAGGTAAAGCCCACTTGTGAGGTGGTTTGTTAGAGAAGAAGCAGTGTCATTCTGTCCTCGTTTTCTCTCCTCACACCCTCAGAGGCTGTGATGTTATTGTCAGAGGGCTTAGGCAAGATAATAGTACTGAGAGCAAAAGATGCTTGAAGAGGAGAAAAGGGCAGCAAGAATGGCGGAAAATGGCCTGAGCTAGCCCCAGCTGAGAATTTTTCCTGGCCACAGTTGCACGTCAGCTAACCACCCCACTGTGGTATCCTCATTCCTGACAATGCTTATCATGTCAGAATCAAATCACAGAATTGTAGAATATCTGCTCCCAACTTTTTATGAGGCACAGGAGTGAGAGCTGATTTGTGTTAAGTATATGGAAGCGCATACTGGTTTTTCGAGATAAGCACTAATTGTTCTGAGATTTTTAATAGCAGTGTGATATTGTCTCCCTCTTACTTTGCTCAGGAACAAAAATGTCTGTGTCCTTTAATCAGAGGTTCAGAGGATGTCAGTAAAGACAGATCAATTCATGCTATGTGTTGTGTTAGAGGTACCCCATCCTTTAAATGATCTTTTCAGAAAACAACTAATTGAAGTCTTCACAGTGTAGACAATATCTGAGACCCACTTAAAAATAACTTGCTGTTAAAATGCCAATGTAACTTTAGGACAAAAAGAAAGTGTATGAATCATCAAAGATAATTATGATAATATTCAATATTTTTGTTCAGTGCTTGTTAATGTAGGTATTAACTCTTTTGAGATATCAGGCTGATGTCTGATCAGTCAAGTCAGGGTGTTTGCTCTTTTAGGAGAATAAGGTTTTCCTTAGCCTCCCCTTCTCTGGAGGCTACAGGAGGCTCATTTAGTCCATTACAGAAGTATTCTTACTAGTTATTTCTGATATAATATTTCTACTAGTTTGTAACAGTATTTCTACCAGTTTGTTCTGTGTTGTTTTGGACTTATGGTCAGATGTAATCAATTTTTTGCCATGTACCTGTCTTCGCTGTTTTTTTTTCCATACGTTTTTTCCCCTGGTACTTGATGTAATTGGTTTGAATGCACTTATCACATTAACATAATTGGCTTACTTGGCATTTTACGCCAATTTCAAGCCTTGTGTTCTGCTCAGTTCTACAGGAACATACAGACATTTGATCATTTGAAGACATTTGGCTAGAAATTTTAGGAAAGTTTCACTCCTTGATTGTTATTTCCTTAAGTATCTTTTTATATTATAAGTTGTAAAGCATCACGAAATCATGCTTGCATTATAATTCTGTGAATAAAATCAACATAAAAGTTGCAAAGTTATTTACCTGATGCTGTTTGTCTGGACAGTTATTTAAAAAAGATAGATCTGCTTCACATGAAGATTTACAGAACTTTATTGTTAATGTTACTAGCCTTTTGTTTTAGGAGAAAAAGCTAATAATAGCACCAGTAATTGATAGTGCTTTCTATCACAAGGCACTGTTTTTAATCACTTATAGCTTTTCTGAAATTAAATTTTGCACTGGAAAAGTCATTTTGAAAATGGCTTTCTAAAAATTGATTTTTTGGAAGGTTTCAAGGAAAAGATTCAGTAGCTTCACGAGATGTACTTTGCACTGGTTTATTTGATACTTTCTTTTTCTCCCCAGTGTTTAAACGGAAAAAAAAAATAAAAAAGTAAACCAAAAAGCTTTTCTTGTGAACTTAGTATATATTTTTTCCTCCGCAAGAGCATGTAGTAATTAACAGCTATAAAATACTAGCTCATACATGCACATGCTGGCTAATAATCGATGGAGACACGTTTCGAGTTTGGCCTGTATATTTCATTATCCATCCCCTGCCCAGTCCCTGTTTGCTGCTGTATCTCCATGTATCTCAAAGCAGATGACATATTCTGATCTAGATTTTCAGACCTGAGCAGAATTTCCATTCCTTGCAGCTCTGAACTTTGTGAGATGAAGTCCTGAAAGGAAGGAATGAACCATTTCCTGGGTCTTTCAGCGTTCACACTATTGGCTTCCAAACAGTCTGTGGGAGTAAGAGTTAGCATCTAACAGTAATGTCAGTGAGTGAGGAGAACAACTTGGATGGGTCTCAGTTCCAGATCTGGACATGTGCATGTGGATGCATGTGCTGGTGTGGTGTCCAAACTTCATTATATACAGTGGTTATCTGTACAGTCAGTGGAGCATTCAGCTAATCACCTAGTAGTTGTTTACTTCATGCTGAACTCACATTTTAGGCTTCATGGGCTGTAATGACTAGATTTCTAGAGATTACAGAAGTGTTTAGGTGTCTACATAGAGAAACCCAGATTTAGTTGCCTTAATTTTAAGCTGTCACAGCACTGGTGACATTCTCAAGTGATGACTAAATGAATGACCTTTTAGCTAGAGAGCAAAGAGCTATGCCATCAGGTACTGCAGCTGAGCTGAGTGGTTATATTGCTTCTTGCTCAGGATATGGTAATCTGCAGGCAATTAGCACAGTGCTGCATCAAGTGTAGAAATAGGTGAAGTGTTTCTCAAAAAGGGATATTTATGCTTGTCAGCAGCATTTGGTATGGGGCACATGTAATTATGTGACAGCAAAGAGGCTTTGTCACTTGCATTCATCTTTCCTTGAGTCACTCTTATGACTGCTTATGGCCCTAATCATTTTCTGAAGTACACAGCAGAGACTGAGAGTAGCAGCATAATAGATGGTGAGTAACAGGGATTTGGGGCAAAAAGGTTTAGGGGAAAAGACCCTTGAACAAGGACATTAGCAATATGTATGGAAGAAGACAGCTATCTTAGAACAAGTTTGGGGACACATAGGGAGAGCTGGAAAGCAGAACAAATTGTGAGCAAGTGTAGAAATGAAAGAGAAGAAATGTGGTAGGGCATAAAGATTGAGGAGGGAGATGCTGAAGAAGAGGATGATGGGAGAAAGGAAAGAGAACAGAAGTTTAATGGATGAGTAGAAACTGTAGAACATAAACGCATGATTGTTAGACAAATCAGAAAACCTGCAACTGATCCGTTTGGTTTTGAACTTCAATATTCTGTTACTGGCATAAGGCTAGGAGGAATCTCAGTCACAGTGATGACTGGCACAGTGAGCTTCTAGGGGAATTTCTTTAATTAACAAGTGAGAGAATGGAAGTTCTCTGTGTAATTATAGCCTTAGCACTAAAGCACATTGATGTATAGCAGTATATTACAGACATGGTAGGAAATAAGACTGGGTGGGACCCTAAGGCTTACTTTGCCTATTCTGTTGACCAAAGATCTTATCAACTGTGTGCATGGTTCCTGGCAGATGCTTATATACCTTGTTCTTACAAATTTCCAGGAATTAGAATTTCACAACCACCTTCAGCAATCTATTCTACTGTACTTGCTCAGAGATATTAGTTCCTGATATTCAAACCAAATTTGATGCTGTAGCAATTTTAAGCCTTTTATTCTTTGTCCTGAGTATGGTGATAAAGAAAATAATTTACTCTTTTCATCTCTGTAGCTACTTTTTACAGAGTAGTATGTACCCCTCTTCTAGTAGCAAACTACATTGCTTCAGCTACATGGTGAAATCTAAGTCGTTAAAGAAAAACTGCATGATTTTATCTTCTGAAACAGATAAGTTCTTTGTAACATTAAATTTAATATATTGGGTCACATCTGCTAAAAGATTATTACACTGGAAGAAGGCAATGGATAATTTATTAAAATACCCCTGCAGGGAGATAGCAGGCTATCTGGTTAATATAGAGGAATGCTTGATGGTTACACTGAAAGCTCCCTGGTGAATCCTTTAACATAGGAGTAGAACGGGAGATGAAAATGACTGCTCGTTATATAATGTTTGCTGTGTTATATTGGTGCCTAGCAGCTGAATAATATTTATGTTAACAGCTCCTTTCCAGCTTTTCATATTGATCTCCTGCTGCTCTAGAGCTGATATGTAATTGCACTGAAAATGGGAAGAAACTACTTGGTTTTTTTTAATGGGGGTGGCAAAAGGTTCTTCCAGTGCATCACTGAAATCAGATATAAGGGGAAAGATGTCATAGGTCTGAGCCACACTTGTAAGATTTTCATTCTCTTTTTCTTCTGAGCTGTTTCTGTCTCATCTTCTCGTAATGTCAAAGGAATTGTGGAAAGAGTATTCTTGGTGGGTGGGAAAGCATCTTTCCTTTGCCTCAAAGGAACCTCACTGGTGCCATGATTACTGAGTTCAAGAAGGACCAAATGACCCTGTCTTTCCATGAATACTAGAAGTTAGAAAGCTGACAAATAGCTTTCCCATATTAGTAAATACACAGTTTCTTAGATAAAGTTTTTCATTCGTGCCATGAAAACTGAAAATTGACATTTTAGTTGTGGCTTTTCATCATTTCTTGTATGTACAGCCTCCTACTTGGAGAACAAGAACAAACCAAGTGTTTTGTGGTGATGTCCAGCTGGAAGCTCCCCAGATCATGTATCCACAGGAGCTGACATGCCTCAGTTTTCCTGCTAACAAGAAATGACACTTTCACAGCGTCAGCAGCTGTGAGCTCAACCAACCTAAAAGTCCTCAGGAACACTTGCTTTTATTGGCTCCCTGGTTTGGTGCGTTTGTGTTCATCCACACCTACCGTTGAGCAAGCTAGACCTTAGAAGGAACAATGGTTTCTTGGACTGAGCTGGCATATTTTTAGAAAAGGACAAAAAAAAAAAAAAATAATAACACAAAACCCAACAAACCTTTTGTGTGTTACTGATTTTTCTTTTCAGGCCCAGTGATGTTATGTCAGAAAGTCTTGACCATACCTGTTAGTCACTGTGGTCTCAAGGTCTTGGGATGGAAGGATACTTGCTGTCATGATGAGAGCTGTTTCTATGAGTTTTGCTGGATTCAAGGGGTATGAATACTTGGAACAGAGCCAGTGGAGTGCTCCATAGTCATTGTCAGTGACTTGGACGAGGGGATAGACTACCTGCTCAGCAAGCTTGATGGCAATATGAAACTGGGAGGAGTGGCTGATACCCCAGAGTGCTGTGCTGTTATTCGGAAGGATCTAGGCGGGCTGGAGAGATGGGCAGAGAGGAACCTTTGAAATTCAACAAAGGCAAGTGCTGGGTCCTGCACCTGGGCAGGACAAACCCCATGTACCAGTACAGGCTGGGAGCTGACCTGCTGGAAAATAGCTCTGCAGAGAGGGACCTGGCGGTCCTGGTGGACAAGAAGTTGTCTATGGGCCAGCCATGTGCCCTTGAGGCCAAGAAGGCCAGCAGTGCACTGGGCTGCATTAGGAAGAGATTGCCAGCAGGTCAAGGGAGATGAGACCTCATCTGGACTGCTGTGTCCAGTTCTGGGCTACCCAGTACAAGAGAGACCTGATGTTCCTGGAGCAAGTCCAGTGAAGGGCTACTGGAACGGTGAAAGTTTGGAGCATCTTTCGTATGAAGAAAAGCTGAGGGAGCTGGGCCTATTCAGTCTAGAGAAGAGAAGTCTCGGAGTATCTGGTGGATGTGTTTAAGTATCTGAAGAGAGGGTGTCAAGATGATGGGGCTCTTCTAGGTGGTGCCAAACAAAAGGACCAGAGGCAACAGATATAAATTAAACCACAGGAAGTTCCACCTGAACATGAGGAAGAAAATCTTTACTGTGAGGATGGCTGAGCACTGGAATAGGTTGCCCAGAAAGGTTGTGGAGTCTTCTTCCCTGGGGATATTTAAGAGCTGTTTGGACACAATCCTGAGTAATGTGCTCTAGGTGTCCGTGCTTGAGCAGGGAGGTTGGACTAGGTGACCCCTGGTGGTCCCTTCCAGCCTTAACCATTCTGTAATTCTCATTATAATAACTGCATGAAAATTTTCACTTTCCTATGAAATAGACAATATTAAAGTAAGACACAAGAAGACTGGAATCAGCCACAGATTGAAACACATTTCTACTATATTATCTATGGAGAATGAATAAAGGACATTAAAAACATCTACATTATTATATTAAAAAAAAAAAAAGAGAAAAAGCGAAGAAACCAGCTCTTTAGTCAGTTCAGCTTCATGATAACTAAATTCCTGAAGTATTTATGGAAGTAAAATGAATATATTAAAATGTGCTATTTGGTAGTTTATATTGAAAAAGGAATAAAGTCCTATCAGGAGTTTTTTCTTTCTAAACTTCTTGGTAGCTAATGCCTTGGAAAATTACAGTAATGTCTGCTATAAGAAGGATCAACAGGAATATAATAATCCTTATGCATTGCTTCATTAGTAGCTTTCCTTTATAGATCTTAATACATTTTTATATTTAAAGCTTCGTACAACTTTTATGAATAAGTAAATGGTATTTAGTAGGATAGCTTCAATCTTGCTTAAATTCTCTTTACCCCCTGCCTCTGAAAAGCAATATCACCTATTTAACTGTGCATACCGATGATGCAGAGTGGATTATAAAGGTAACGTAAAAACCTCTCTTCATGCAGAGCTATCTGAATTCAATGTTGATAATGACAATAAAGTCTTAGACAAAGAACCACAGGTAGTCAAGTTGATGGTGGGTTTTGTTTTGGGTTTTGGTTTTTTTTCATCTCGTACAGAAGCAGCTCAGACTCATGAGGTCATGAGATCCTCTAGTGCTTGGATGGGGTTAGCATTGGTTTAGCAGTAACTAAGGCATTAGTTTTTCTCAAGTTTAAAGTAGATGACATGTTTTGTCTGCCTCAAGCTCTGTGTAGCATCAGAGTCTCAGAGAGAGGATCATTTAATGAATCATGAGCACAGCTTCCAGTAGCATGTGGGTGGCTCTTATCATTCCTGAAGCATGCACCCAAGGACTTGGGAAGCAGAATAAAACATGGTTAGTTACAATACCTTGTTATCCAAAATACTTGCTTACAGCATTGTAGCAGTCTTGTATTGTGAAGTTGTATGGTGTTTGAGTTCAACTTCACACATACCAGTTACAGCATTCCCTGTTTAAACTTCTTCAAAGAAAACAATATTTTTACCTCTTTTCATGCTATTCATGTCCATACAGAGGAAAAACATTAATGCATAATTTAAGCAGCAATATCTGCTATTAATTACAGATATACATAATTAGTAGTTACTTGTATCAGCCATATGTATTTCCCTTACTTATATCAGAAAAGGCTGGGGTTTTTCTAATAGCTATAGCAAATGTGGAGAAAAGCACTTCTGTACTGTCATATCCTTCAGTGTATTTGCATTTTTTTAACATCTAATATACTTAATGCAACCAAATAGACATAGTTTAAGAGTGAACTGCTATGAAGTAAATAGCTGTTTAAATTGACACAATTTACTTCAATTTGCTTCAAATACAATTTACTTTAAGGTTTGCTACGTACTGCCGCTGTTCTGCTAGTGTGTGATAGCATGCTAAACTGTGGAAACTTGATCACTTAAGGAGGTCTTGATCAGGCATTTCAGCATTGAACATGTTTTTAGCAGGAATTTGTACTATGTGACTTTTTGTCCTTCCCCAAGTAACTGATTTCTGTCAACTCTCCTAACTGCTTTAGGCAAAGAAGCAGATGTATATAGGCACAACTTTAGAAATTACTAACATGTCCTGGTAATGATATTTTTCATAATAACATTATATCGCAAAATAGCAGTTCTCTTTATTCTTCCATTTCAATTGTACTAGTTGGAAAAAAAAAAATCCTTGAACATATGTGGTGAAAAATGCATTCTCAAAAACTCAACTGCAAAGTTATTCAGTTGGAATGACTGAACATTGCTTTTTCATACAGGCATTTGTGACTGTAATAAATAAATAATCAATACCAACTGCCTTATTTGAAAATCATGCACTTTGGTAATCACTAGTTAAGCTTTATTTATTGCAGAAAGCCAACCGTATCCTGGGCTGTATCAAAAGAAGCGTGACCAGCAGGTCAAAGGAGGTGATCCTGCCCCTCTACTCTGCTCTCCTGAGACCTCACTTGCAGTATTGTGTACAGTTCTGGTGTCCTCAACATAAAAAGGACATGGAACTGTTGGAGCAAGTCCAGAGGAGGGCCATGAGGATGATAAGAGGACTGGAGCACCTCCCGGATGAAGACAGGCTGAGAAAGTTGGGGCTGTTCAGCCTGGAGAGACCTCATAGCAGCCTTCCAGTACCTGAAGGGGGCCTATAAGGATGCTGGGAGGGACTCTTCATTAGGGACTGTAGTGGTAGGACAAGGGGTAATGGCTTTAAACTTAAACAGGGGAAGTTTAGGTTGGATATAAGGAAGAAGTTCTTCATAGTGAGGGTGGTGAGGCACTGGAATGGGTTGCCCAAGGAAGTTGTGAATGCTCCAACCCTGGAGGTGTTCAAGGCCAGGCTGGACAGAGCCTTGGGCAACATGATTTAGTGTGTGGTGTCCCTGCTCATGGCAGGGGAGTTGGAACTAGATGATCTTAAGGTCCTTTTCAACCCTAACTATTCTATGATTCCAAACAATTGGTGTGAAATATGAAAAAAGTAATGAACTGTGTGGTTTTTTAATCTCTTCTAGGTAGAAAGAAGAAGCCAAAGCTTTTAAACAAGTTTGATAAGACCATTAAGGCTGAACTAGATGCTGCAGAAAAACTACGTAAAAAAGTAAGTAAGTTTTGAATGTTTCACTCAAGACAGTAGACAGTGGGCAAAAATAAATTTAGAAAAAGGGAGAATTACTTTCAGATTAGTTTCTGTGAGATAAACTTTTTAAAATTAAATATTCAGTGCATATTTGTCCTTCAGGTTTCATTTCTGCTGAATAGTTTAGCTTAAATTTTTTGAAGTCAAAAATGTATGTCTGTTTATGTGTGTTTGCTCACCTTTAACCTTGAAAATACTTAGCTTAACTGTTGAATTCCTTTCATCAAAAAACTGCTTAAATTAGTCACATGGAACAGGTTTAATTCTGTCCTATCACTGTTGTCCATTTGAGTAGTCAACTATTATCAGAGAACTTAAATAATATAAGCATGTTAATCTCTCTGTTCATACGTTACGTAAGCATTAGGTGCACATCTTTTTAGTAGGCACTGTTTCTGTTGGGATTCTATGTGCCTCCTGTGAGTGTCTCTGCTCCTTAGAGCATGAAGCAGTTCTTCCTGCCTCTCAGCAGTGACACCAAGACATTAAGAACCATCAGTTTTGGTAGTTCTGAATTAAAAAACTTGACTATGAAAAGCAAACAAACAAACAAACCCCAACAAAAACTTCAGTCGTCTCCTTTGATAACTTCCAATTTTATTCTTTTGAGTGTTTCAGAAAACAAGACCTTTGCAGAGATGTCCCTTTTCCAGATGTCAGGTTAAATAGTGAAGCAAGGCTATATGACTATTAGAAATGAGACATCTTGAGTCTTTTGAATGTAAATCTTGTAAGAACTGATATGCCTCACAGACAGTCCTAGCACATGTAGGTCTGTACCCTGGATTTGAGATGGCTCAAACTCATTTTCAGTACAGTACAATAAAAACTATTCTAATTATAGCAGGTGTAGGAATATCCTTTATTTTCAGAAGACTGACTGTGCATTTTTAGCTTTACTTTGCTGTCTGTGCAACCCAGGAGTCTGTGATGAGGCTGAAGGACTGCTACATAGAGAGCACTAACCTCAGCCTGCCACTGCTGCTGCTCTTCACTAGGAGCCTTGTTTATGTGTTAGAATACAAAAATAAAAAGCATTTTCATGCTTCTTGGACTTAAACAACTGGTTGATCAGAGAAAGGCACAACAGAAACTTTTGATGAGCCTGTAGGGTCGCTTGGCTGACTCTCTTTTCCTGCCTGTGTCTCTTGGTGAGTTGCAGGCAATCATGCTTGCCTTGTAGGAAGCAGGATAAATTTATTGGGAAATCAGACATATGGAGTATTTGAAGATAGCAAGGCAGTTGTGTTTAATAGTCTACTCATATTTATAAAGCTCTAAGTGTTGGAAATGGCAGTGAGATCTGATGCCAAATTTTGCCAAGCAGTGCTTAGCTCCCATTTAACAGCACAGCTGGTTCTTCTCAACTTCCATCCTTACTTGTTAGTCAGCATCAGTCATGAGAATATACCATAGTTACATTTGGACTTTGTATAAGGCATGGAAGAGACACAGAGCACACGTGAGATGCCCTGAGGAACACTCTTATGCAGAACATGTGGAGGAAATAGCCACACAATATGGATGAGTTTACACTATTTCCTCTAGAAAAAACATAGTTACAATACTGTTCATCACGTGAGGTGTGCAGAGAGGAAATTTCCATGTATGTCTAGAACTTCTATTTTATTCTCTGTTACATTCAGCTTGGATTTTGTTCCTAGCAATAGAACCTTTACACTGTTATATAGACAGGTTATTGTCATCTCAGTACTCTTTCCAGACAAGAAAGGGAAAGTGAATAAAATAAAAACAAAGCCATTCATTTTAACCATGGGAAATGGATAGTATTGTTTCATAAATAATAATAACAAATTTCTCTTAAATAAACAGCAATCCCAACAAAAATATGAATGAAAACTGTTGATTGTGTCCATCTTTTTGTTTTGTTTTTATTTTTTATTTAATTGGGGAAACTATGTGTTATTACGCTGTGCCACCTTCAGCATTTTTATTAGATAAAATTGCTGACAAATATCTCTACTTTCCAGGGAAAAGTTGAAGAAGCTCTAAGGGCCTTTGAGACACTAGTGAATCAATACCCACAGAGTCCTCGAGCAAGATATGGGAAAGCACAGGTACTAAAAAAAAAAGCCATAATATTAAAAAAGAGAAAATAAACCTTTTTTAACAATGGAGTTCCCAGTCAGATTTCATTTTTAATGTTATGACTGTTCCTAGGGAAGAACAAAGTTATGTGATCTGTCATATTGTATCTATTTCAGTCCTCTGTCCTTCTCCAAGTACTTTGGGAGCTTTTGTCTAACTTTAGTCTAGTGGAAAGTATTGTAAATAACAAAAAAATAAGATATGTCCTGTGCATCTCATGAAAACTGTCAGATGAATGGTAAGAGATAAATCCCAGCTAATGTCCCAGTGCAGGAACAACAGGCAGAACTTAGCTGTTACATACTGTTTGCTGCAGCTGGTAAATCAACATGTAATCTCTGAGCTAAATGACGCTTTTTGCGTAGTGGGAATAGAGAAGGGGATTTGGAGTTTTTGTGGAGTGAATGTTAAAAGGATAAAGAATGCCACCTGATCAAATGTTTGGCTGAGTAACCATGCTGTTTGTTTTTTCCTGTACTCAAGGATAGTTCCAAAGTAGCTCAAGGTTAACAAGTAAAGGACAGAAGTGCCAAAAGATTCTAGATATTATTACAGCGTATACAGCTAACATAGTCAAAGCTATATTATCATTAACGTGTATGACTGAATTCAGACAGATCAATAAGAGCTTCTGCACCTGCAGTGCTTGCGTTGCATCTATACCTTGCTCTGCTAATTGACAGAAGAATGAACAACAACAAAAACATTGAAGTCTCTGAGAAAAATGCATTGAACATATGAACATGCATGCATTTGTATAAGCAATTCAAACTAATGCTTTAAAAATTTAGCATTTGAGATAGTCTTATTTTTTTTCAGCTGCAGAAACAAATCATGAAAATGCCATACAAGAGGTGAAATCAGTGTAGCTTCCATTAGCTTCACCAAAGCTGTAATTTCACAGTAAAGATCTCATATATCCTTTGGTCTGCTCCTGAACTTCAACAAATTTAAGTTCCAAAAGAGTTGTAGATTTTCTGTCAACACCTGCAAGAGTAAAGGCAATTTCTAATTAGTTTTCTAAGAAACAGTATAAATACATTAGTGTCAGAATATTTGAAAGAAATGTTTGTTGGTGTGGTTTTATCTGTCTTGCTGCCAGTGTGAGGCTTAGCATATGAATAATCCACAGTCACCAATTTATATTTCTTCCATATTGTTAAAACAGATTGCTTCATCTATTTCAAAAGCAGAAATTATGAATTCTACAAATATTAACCAAAATTCCATGTTATTGTATGTTTTAGGTGCCAATTTTCTCATGTTTTCAAACAGTCTGTAGGAAACAAGAATTAACATAATACTAATCTACCTTACCATAAAGCGCAACCAAATAAGTTCTTCATTGTTATGCCAAAATTATACAGATTAAAGGCAATTCTAAAGTTATTCCTGCAGTCTAACAATCGTATAGCTTGCCTTTTAAGAAAACAAAGTTATTTTTAAGCCTGATGGATTATTATGTGTTCTAATAATGGGTTTGTGATTCTTTCCAGTCTGAAGATGACTTAGCTGAGAAAATGAGAAGTAATGAGATGCTGCAAAAAGCTATCAACACCTATGATGAGGTGGTTAGTCTGCCAAATGTCCCATCAGATCTGATAAAACTGAGCTTGAAAAGAGAAGCAGACAGGCAGCAGTTTCTTGGTAAGATTCAAGAGTGGTGTGAAAGTTATGGGACTTGTGTGAGCAAGACTTTCAAAAGATAACCAAGGATTTGTAAGTGCCAGTTACATTGAAATTGTGGTAGGATTTGTGATCCTAATCTCTTAAATGCTTATGGAAAATATTTTAAAATTCTTCAATTTTTTTCTAGGGAACTAATGTCTATAATTGCTATAATTGGTGATAGTGCCTGTGGACAGCACTGCACTGGTTGCTATGAGAAGCTATGATGAGAGGTGGTAAAAAAATTTTTATTGATGGAAAAAAAAGAAAATAATCTTCTCTTTCTACTGAAGCTGATGGAACTCATGAGGAAATTAATGGCTTACACAGAGTAAACATACCCAGAGTAAACTTTCATTAAACAGGGAGAGGAATGAAATTGAACTCGGGGGATAACATGTGAAAGTTTAGATCTCAATTCTGTGATGTACAAGAAGTGCTGATTAGACTATGAGGCACAGTCAACTTTGCAGAAGAGTTCTGTTCCCATGGGTTGGATTTTAATATCAACTTGTTTTGATCTTTCTGTTCCTAAAATAGACCTCATCTAGGAAGTCGAGGAACATACTTGATTTTAATCACATAAAGCATGGTTAATTTCATAATGGAAATATAATAGAACTATTGCTTAACACTAGAAATGCATTTAATTACTTAATAAGATTACATTTATTTTCATATGTTTACCTAATTTTGTGGAGCACCCTAACATCTGTGTAGGAGAGAGCAACCAAAGCTTCAGAAATGTTGGTACTGCTACACTGTGAACAGTTCTCCACTAGAGGTTACCATAACACTGCACGATATGCATTTGCAGTGGTTTCCTGAAATATTTCTTGTATGGCTACACCCCAGTGACAACCAAGCAGCTGAATCTGCTCCTGTCTGCACAAGGGTTTTTTCAAGTTCTGCTTCTTGATTGTTAGTGAAAGTGCTGGCTCTGATTTACGTTCTCTTAGATGTTGTGTAAGCATCTTACTACTGTTACTCGTATCTGTAATTGTAATTGAGACTTGTTCAATCAAATTAGGTCGCATGAGGGGTTCGCTGGTGACTCTACAGAAATTGGTTCAGCTATTTCCCAGTGATACTTCGTTCAAGAATGACCTTGGTGTTGGTTACCTCTTGATAGGAGATAACGGCAATGCCAAGAAAGTGTATGAAGAGGTGAGTTTCTATTCCAGCCAAGGAAAAATATTATTTGCATTCATATGTTCATTCTAAAGACTATTTGCTTATACCTTTTTCAGTTGTTAGACATTTTGTATGTCAGGTTTTGAAGGGTTAATATAGATACATGGTTTGGTTTTGTTTTGGGTTGCTTTTGGGGTTTTTTTAGTGCCATTTTAAATTATCTTCTAATTTTGATACAGATTTCCTGATACTGTCACACTACCTGTTTTGCCTTATAGAAAAATCCAGATGTTTTTCACATGCTTAATAATATTTGATTTCTTATACCTTGTGATAGCAAGGTTTGGAATATATTGACAACACAAATGTAGTACGTAGTATTAAAATAATGTCTTACCTGTAAGATGTGGAAAGCAGAAGTATGTATTTCCTTATAGGAACATTTCCTCTAATCATGTGATGAAGCATTTCAGTATTCACACAGCATTTAACCTTTTTTTTGTGATTTTTGTAGGGAGCTTAAATTCTGATTTTCTTTCATGACACTTGTGTGGACAGTTCATTGGATTTTTATTCCTATCTTACAGTATGGTTATTGGGCTGGGGAAACTTCACTGCCAGGAAGGGCCACCTTGCTTCTGTGATCTGGAAACCCTGTTAACATCTGGAAGCTTTCTGACAGATGCGGAGCTTGATGTCACTGGTAGAGCACAAGCTGTCGGTACCTGATCAGAGATTATCTTGTTGATGCTGGCACACTTGCTGCAGCACTCATTAGTACAGGCATGGAACTGTAACTGACTGATTATGTAGACCAAAGACAAGTCAGCATGATTAGTACCACCTCCTGAGAATAATGGCCCAGTTTCCCATCCCCTGCATCAAGTCTGAGGGGATTCTCATCTCAGGTGGTTTCTCAAAGAGGAAGAGGATGTTCAGCCGCATGGCTAGAAGCAGGAGACAAACCCTGATAATACCTTTTTTTTTTCCTTTCCTCAAGCTCCTCTGCTAGTCTGGGATGTTGCTGGAATAATGTTTGCTTTGCTACTTTGTAGGTCCCTCCATAAAATGTTTCTGTTTGGTAATTTTTGGCCTGCTGTCAAAATTTCTCAGAGGATTGGAATCGTCAGCTTTTAAAGATAGACTATATTAACTGAACCTGCTTCTTAAGCTGCAAGGAACTTGAAAACAAAAACATACCCCTTTTGAGCAAGATTTTCCTCTTCAGTTTTCCACTATTTTGCTGCAAACAATATAGTTATTAGAATTTCTCAGTATAGATAATCACAAGACTTTTTATAAATGGAAGAATGTAATGAGTTTGCTATATAATTACTTTGATATCGAGTTTGATATACTTCGGAAGAACTGCTCTGATTAAGAACAGATATGCAAAATAAGAACTGGTCTGCTTTTAATATGTTGTTTTCCATGCTTCCATGGGCTTTATCCAATGTAATTACTCTGTTTTGCAGTTCACTAACCACCGAAATAGTATAGATCATAGCAATGTTCTGTCTTCGTAAAAAAGCAACAAATAAATACCTTTTAAAAGGAGTTGGATTTGTTGTATTTAAAAATTATTCTGGCTATTCATCAGACTGAATTCCAACAGAAAGGAGACAGAGCCAAAGACACAGAGAAGCTCGTGTATCTGCTTTTATTCTTGGTTATGCTGAAGGCTTCTTACATGATTTTGGTCAGATTGCTTAGGGGCTATATAGTCTTCTCTTGACAGCTTTGCTTAGCTGTTGCAATGCATGTTTAGGAAGTGATGATTGGTATGTTGTGTGGAGCTCCTACCATAGTTGCTCAGTTTCTCTGTATAGTCAATAAAGAGAAGGGCAAACTGTGAAGGGTAGTTCTGGAGGCCTCCAGGAGACATCTTCCTCTTCCCATGATTTTTCTAAAAATCTGGCAAATTTCTGTAGCGTAATTGAGTCCTTCTTCTCACTAGTGTAGGAAAAGTTAGACATTTGATAGAAAAACATAAGAGAGCACAGACAGAAGCATGAATTCAGTGTTGCACAGTAGATGCCTCCAATATTGTCAAATCCTGGGTTCTGGTTGCCACTGAAGGCTGTTCATACATTTTATTCAAGTGGTCTTTAATGCAGAAGGCATGGACATCTAGAAAGAGAGAGCAGAGCTCAGGACTCATCAAGAGAACACTTACCTTGTTTGACTAAAAGCTTAGCTTTTTGTTGATTCCCGCTCTGGTTCCATTCCTCGTGGTTGTCTAACTTCTTGTACATGTGGTATTTGTTTCTGCTCCTCAGGCAAGTTCCCAAGTAGTTTAACACTCTTCTGTGCAGGCAAATCTGGACTCCAAATTTCTCATTTCCTAGAAAACTGCTAGATTCTTGGGCAAAAGGTACCCGTTTCCTCCTTTGCTTCCTGCTGTAACATTTTGATCTTAATTCAGTGTAAGCTTGGGCTGAGCACACACAACCAGCTGGACCCTTCAAGCACTGTCCCCTACATTGGGATTACAGAATATACCGTTTCAGACCAGACTAAATCCAGCTTGCATCATCTCCAAGGAACTGGAATAGATGCGCAAGGAATCCTAGTGAATGAAAACTTTCTGCTTTACTCTTATAGCCAGTTTGCTTATTTTCCATTCAGTTGTTATTTTCCATTCCAAATCTGTTATGTCTTGACAGCTGTTGAAGTGTCATAATCACATTTTTATTTCAAAACTCTGAAATATGGTATGTTCCTTCTTTCAGCTACGAAGTGATGTGTGTAAACACTGCACCTCAGATCAAGAGAGTTTCGTACATAGACCTGTGATGTGGTATAGCCTAACACAAAATACACTTTTATAGTATGCATTTGCGAGAATTTATGCTGAACCACAGGTGGAAAATGGTGTCCAGGTGGAGACAATTTCAATTTTGCTTCTAATATTAAAGCATTTTCTTTTGAACATTACACTTAGGGACAGGAAAACATAAAAGTAGTCCTTGTAGAATTCAGAGCTATTTTTATTTTCAAAGAAAACATAATATTTAAAGTAGCCCTCGTGGAATTTAGAGCTATTTTTGTTTTCAAGGATTTACAGATAATGGTAAAATATAGTGTAAGAGAATTTTATAAGACCAGTTACTCTCCTAGTAGCACTTTTTCTGCGTGCCATGCTGAGACATGTCTGCATGGCTCAGTGCAGTGTTATACAGACACACATAAGCCAGCTCTGATTGAGCTATCTCAGGTACCGAAAGCAGAATACCCACATTAACAGAGTCCTTTGCCCTGGCTAATTAGCCATTGATAGCCCCAGAGGTTAATTTCTATATTCATGATTAATATTTAATGAGCTATGAGCAGTTTAGTAAAACTTATTTCTAAACATAATTAATATTGCATGCAGCAACAGCAACAGAGTAATAGAATTTACATTAAATACTTCCAGTGTAATTTCTGCTGATTGTATCTCTTCACTTTTCTTTAGGAGCTCTGAATGTAGATCATGCCTTAATGTGACTCGGCATAGTTTAAATGAACCGTAATACAGAAAATTCTATACTGTCTTAATTAATCACATAGCTTTATCCTATAGTTAAAGAAACTGCAACAAACTTATATGGCTAATAAATATTTCTGTCAGTCACCTAATTTCGCCCTGCAGGTACAGATTCTTGTATCAAAATGATTATGCACAGAATGCTGTAGTCAAAAGGCAGAAGACGTGTAAGGTGGTAAACTATTCTTATACTAGGGGTCAAGCTCATCCTTACTCTGACTTGCTAGGTTCACTTTTTTGCTAATAGTGTGTCATATTATGGACTTCAGGTAGATTCTCAAATCGATAGATCCTTCATAGTACCGCTTTTCTGGGGGGAAAAAAAAAAGTTAAATGCTGCTGGTTTTAACTCAATATTTTATACCCACATTGTGCTGATTTTGGTTTTATACCCACATTGTGCTGATTTTGGTTTTGCTTGGATGTAGTAAGATTTAAGAAAACAGGGGAACTGACCCAGGGAACTTCTTGAGGTTTTGCTTGCAGTTACTTTGATTGAAAGATTAGGTTAGACAGTGACTGGAAAAGGCAGAAAAAATAGCTGTAATGCATGCAGACATTTTATCCATGGCGTAAGTTTAGTAGCTTCAAAAATGGATTCAGGCAAGAGAAATTGCTCATCTATCCATTGCTTTTTATTTAGCAGCTGTGCTAGACGTTCAGATCTGTAATTCCATGAACTGCCAGGGCTCTTGTGATGATCCTCACAGTTTCTGATAAGACCATTCACCCTTATTTTAAAGAGACGAGAGGTGTAACAGCAGATTAACTTGACCATGTAATTGATATCACATAAAGCTACTAATGATACTGAATATATACATCACAGAAATGTGGAGCTGGAAAGGAGATCAAGACATTCTCTAATTTTCCCCTTGGCTGAGGCAGAATAAATGTGCTTAAATTATCTCAGTAACGTTGGGAGTACATTTTGCCAGAGCTCAGGCCAGCCAGCTTCACACCTCCTTTCCCTGAAACACTCCCCCATACACTGATCCTTTCCTACAGCTGTCCCTGTACTCACAAATCTTTCTCTTGCACAGTCCCAATGAAATATCCTTGTCTGAATATTTTCCTATGGGTTTTCCTTTCCTGCAAAATTAAGCTAGGTTATAACTCTTGATAGTATCTAAATCTTGTTCAGGGTACAAAATCTTTTAGCTTAATTTAGCATGCAAGGTCTTGGTGTTGGTCAAAGAGCATGGCACACAGCTATAATGAATGCTGTTAAATTCTGTAATGTAGCATGCTGTACACCAAGATAGAGAGTGGAGAAGGACAGACAACTAAAACATAAAGCAATTCAGAGATTCCAGTTGTAATAATTTTACTTCTGAGACTTTAAAGGTTGCCTTGTAATAGATTTTTCTAGAGAGTCATAAAAGTGAATGGGGAAAAGGAAGTACAGCCAAGCCAAGAATTCATCTGAGGGTCAGCAGAGGAAGAAAATGTCGTTGCATTACTAAATAGTAATATGTGCACAGGTTTGTTAATTTGCATAGATCCATACATGTGTTTTTAATTGATTTGCTTTCACACAGGTTCTAAGCCTGGCTCCAAATGATGGCTTTGCCAAAGTACATTATGGCTTCATCCTGAAGGCAGAAAACAAGATAGCAGAGAGCATACCCTATCTAAAGGTATTTTTCTTTTCTCACCCATAGTAAATGTTTTACTAGTAAAAATATAATTGAAATGTATAAAGAGTGTCAAGCTAGGAGCATACTAATTACAAATCACAGTGTAAGCTACTTGTTGGAGTTACATTGCTGTGTCACTGTCTGTGAACTGGAGCAAGCTTGTACATTGAGACTCATCAATTCTTAAATATCAAGTATTTGTTTTATTAGTGGTTAACCTAAAGTACACAGCTGTGAGCCTCAGACTGTGCTGGGGTTGGCAGTATGCTGCAAACTAAAGGTTCTTGTAAGATCCAGAGAGGGCTTGTGTATACTTCTGGGTGTTTGGTAAGAAAGTACTACAAAATAAAGCCTTAATTCAGCTTTCTAAAACACTTCTGTATATGTTTAAAACACTTGTCTATATGTTTATAGGGTATGGGGCAAGTGTCCATCTTTGAATACACCTCTGTCTTGGAGGCACTGAGCAGAGGGGCCATGGAATTTGGAAAACTGATAACATTTCTCAATAGATTTTTACTGATTGTATTCATTCAGCCTAAGTTACAGGTTACCTTTAGAAGTCCTATTGAAGTTTCTCTTGCACTTTGTTTTGTTTTTATTAATAGGAAGGACTAGAGTCTGGTGACCCTGGCACAGATGATGGACGCTTTTATTTTCATCTGGGTGATGCCTTGCAGAGAATGGGAGACAAAGACGTATGTTTTTAACATGTTCTTGCTTTAAAGTCTAAACCTCTGAGAGACTGCAGAATCCAGAAAAACCTTCAGTGATGGGTTCAATGTTGAAAACATGAGTAGTCCCATTGCAACAACTATCTGGTTATATGTGTATATAGGTCAATATAAGCAACAGCAGAAAATCTGTCATTGATGTGGCAGTAAGACCTCTTAGCATTGCTTGCTTTAGAACTAACCCAAACTTTTGAAGCTTGCATGGGGCAGCCTGAACTGAGGGAACAAAAATATTTTGAAAATTCAGTGACAGTGTTTTTAGAGACTATTTTATGCTCCTGCCACTTAAACCAAAGATTTTAACCAGAATTCAAAAAAAGCAGTTATATCACTGTATAGAAGTTCTCTCATAGCTCTGGTGTAAGAGTATTTTGTAAACCTTCCTTCATTCACAAAGTGACCGTGAGCACCAGCAAGTATGTGATAAAAGACTATGAGAGGACTGAATGAGTGGGCTGAGTTATGGTATTTGTTCAATAACTAAATTAGCAAAGAGATCAGAAAAGCAGAAATTTGAACAAATCTGTTGTGTGCCCAAGGAAAACAAACATATACCACTGGAAGCCATATGAGTTTCTGATTTGTTAATTCAAAATGATATTTCATTTAAAAGCCAAATTTAAATGTGTAAATTAGCCCTACTGTTATGGTAGGGGATCAAAGGGTTTTGTTAAAGGATGTTATTAGTAATTAACTTTATGACGGGTATGAATTTGAAAATAATGACAAAAAAAACCCTCATTCAGGTTCCTCAATGGGAAATGTGAAGACAATAAGCATAAAAAAGCATAGTGAAAGATAGCCATGAAATGCACTGCTTTTTACTTAGTTATCTCATAATAGAATCATAGAATAATTAGGGTTAGAAAGGACCTTAAGATCATCTAGTTCCAACCCCCTGCGCCATGAGCAGGGACACCACACACTAAACTATATTGCCCAAGGGTCTGTCCAACCCGGCCTTGAACGCTGCCAGGGACGGAGCATTCGCAACTTCTTGGGCAACCCATTCCAGTGCCTCACCACCCTCACTGTGAAGAACTTCTTCCTTATATCCAACCTAAATTTCCCCTGTTTAAGTTTGAACCCATTACCCCTTGTCCTATCACTACAGTCCCTAATGAAGAGTCCCTCCCCATCATCCTTATAGGCCCCCTTCAGATACTGGAAGTAATGTAAAGAATGCTGACCTCTTGAGTATCTTGACCCAGTCAGTAGAAGGTTCTCCAGTATGAACTGTGTAGATAGACAGGCTATAATGAAGTCTAAGTATGTGATTTTTCTCGAGCCTAGTCCATCAGGTTTTTTATAAGTCATGGAAACTTTCTTGCAGTTACTTATACATACAGTAGATTTATAACATTGAAATGTAATAATATCTTGAATTTTGTAGGTTAGATTGCCTTCTCTGAAATATTCTTCCAATTAAGTTGGGGTTTATTTTTAGTTTAAAAGTTCATTTACAAGTGAGAATCAGTAGGCCTCATTTTATACTCATTTTACACAGTCTGCTTGCACATGCTCTCTCTCTCTGTCTGACTCTGTCCTCCTCTCAACAGAAAACCAGAAAGGAAGTCCCTGTATGCTTCCATGGGATATTGTGGGTTGAATGGTTGAGCCTAGAATATCCCATTACAGATGTAATTAACATACATCATAATTTTGTTAATGTTTATAGAGTCAAATCTGCTGTAGAAAAGGTTTTAATTAATGACAAATGAACTTGGGATAGAGGAGACTTTTAAATTCATCAATGAAAAGTCCACTGTTAAGCTAAATTTTTCTCACTGACCTTGCTAGACTTGCTGAACTTCAAGATTTAATCAAGGAAACAGATCAATATTTAAGAAATATGTGAAATTGCTATCACCGAAGGTTTGTTGAAGGTAGATATTAATCTATTAGAGCTAAATTAGGACTTATGAATATGGTCTTGGTAAGTGTTAGGCGAACAGTGTTGAGTATGCCCTTTCCAACTATAATTTGATAAAATGCCAAATGGACTTAAGATAAATTAAAACTGTAGAAGGTATTATAGAGCAAAGTGCTATTCACACAGAATGCATAAACTGAGTGCATCTCAAACAATTTCTTTCCTGGAAAAGAAGATCCACTATTGTAGCTCTCTTCGACAGTGCAGTGATCATTATTTAGTCCTTCCACTTCCAAAATCTGCATACAAAAATAAAGATTTCTTGTGGAAGCTCAGGACTGGAAAGGATGAATGAGGCAAGCTAACCCTACTCCATTCTGTCAAAGGCAACCTCATAGCACAATTCTTTTAATACATAAGGATTAACAGTATTATGCTTTGTGATTATGGCTGATGGATCTTAAAGAGCAGCAGTATTCATATTCATCAGTCAGTGGCTGAAACAAGTAAATCATCCCTCTTACCTTTTGGGCTAACTCCAGGCATTGCAAATGAACATAGTCAGTCAGCATGAACAATCTATTGACATCCCACTGCTATTACAATTTGCATCTTGAGGAATAGACATTATAAATCATAATGCTTTCACTTCAGAGACTTAACCAAGATAACATCAAAATTTAGAGATATGTTGTGTGTCGCCCAAAGGTAATACATAAGTTATCTTTTTTGTATCCATACACAACATTACAGAGCTTCTGAATGGAAAAAAGATGAAAGCTTATATATAGTCTGCTGTTATTCTGTTCATCTGTACTGATTTTCTGTACTTAAGATAAATACTGTAAGGCAACATTCAATTGCAGCCTTTCCTCCATACTTCAAGAGAGTTATAAAAATCAGAGTACCATAATTTTTAAAAGCTTGAAGAAAGTTTTTAGACTCTCAGAAATGATCTGTGGTAAAAATAGAGACTTAAGTAAACATGTGAAATCAAAACTACCCAAAATAATTTCTTAACTTACATCGGTGAAATAAAAGATCTCTGAGATAACACCTGGACATTTTTATAAATAATCTATTACATGAAGAATTTCCAATAGCTTTTTGTATTTCTTAGTAAGTCACACACTGTTCCCATGGTTAATTTGTATCCAAAAGAAATTTTTTCCTTCTAGTTTACTGGCTTCAAGGTAAACATAAATAATAAGCTGACATGAATTGTTGTTCTAGAGATGTGTTTATTTGATTATATATTTTACTTTCTATTAGACCCCATACAATAAATGGTTCTTCTTTATCTTAAGAGTTAGTAATGTGGGTTTCGTCTCAGTAAGATACTTGTTTTAGACTTACTGTCAAATGTGGGCAGATAAATGGACAACTGCCATAGAATCATAGAATAGTTAGGGTTTTTGCAAACTTTTTTTGTAAGATACAACTTTTTTCCTGACACTTTTCCTGCCAACTTCAACATTGTTGGTAAATTCAAATTATTTTTTACCCACAGAAACATTTCTATGCAATTTAAATTACAAACTGGAAATCTAACCCTCGAAACACAGTTCTGCCCATTTGGATGACATTACAGTAGTATTCATAGAATCATAGAATGGTTTGGGTGGGAAAGGACCTTAAGAACATCTAGTTCCAATCCCCCTGCCATGAGCAGGGACACCACACACTAAACTATGTCGCCCAAGGCTCTGTCCAGCCTGGCTTTGAACACCTCCAGGGTTGGAGCACTCACAGCTTCCTTGGGCAACCTAAATAATATGCCTACGAGTTGTAAGATGAGGAATTACTCTCTTTGAAGAAACAAAACCCAATTTAAATAGTCATGCAGAGAATGCTTCTGGGGACAGTGTTCATCTTCCGATTTTCTGTACTCCTGCTGGAAAGAAAAGTGGAAGGTTTGGTTCGTTTGAGGAGAACTTGGCAAGGAGGTGCACATGGCCAGGGAAAGTCTAATGGTAAGGTGTGGGGAGAGTGCTATTAACTGGAAGCACAAGGATGAAATTATAGGCTGTTTTATTTAGAGTAAGGCAAGAATAGGTATTAGGCTGTATAAAGGAGTGTGGTCCAAGTTTGGATGAGTGATGCTTGGGTGGAGGTGAATTTGATAGGTTGCAGGCTTGGTAAAGAGTGAATTTCAAGCACTGTAGCTAGAGAGGGACTCTGTGCATGGCTCAAAGTAAAGAGGATTTTGGATGGCTTCTGTTTGAGAGAGAGATTGCTGCCTACTTCAGTCCCCCTGCTCCGGACTTTTTATCTTCATATCTCCCTACTTAGCTTTCATTTTTGGTATTTGTGTTGTCTAAAATATTTCAGGTGTAGCAGTAGTACTGGACAGAAAGGAAGCAGCTATACATAATCTTCTCTGTACATGGTTCATCACAGTGCTACTCATGTTGGATCTTTTCTTTCCAAATGTCTCATTTTCTTTCTTTTCAGTACCTTGTTTTGCTGCTATACAGGGATAAAGCAACTTGTGGAAAGGGAGAGTAAGACAAAGGAAGACGCAGTATTTACCTCAGTAGTTTTCTACCATGTGGTCAGTTCTGGTGTGGCAACAAACATTTGGAGAAACTCAAGTGCATATATGTAGTAGATAATTAAGTAACAATTTACATCCACAAAGTCAGCAGTGTTTTCATCATCGCAGCATCTCTACTGGCAGCAGAAGGCAATCGTCTTTAATTCATAGGTAGATAATTGAAACAGAGAAAACAAAGTTGACCAAAATGGGAAACAACTGGATATCCCAAATCCAAGGGGACCAACTAGATTACTGACCCATATTTGGTGTGAATGGTTGTGAGAAGATTATCCTATTTTGCCAATGGATTGGACAGCCTTGGCCAATGAATCTATTTTGGGAATGTTAGTTGGGCCTAGGACCTTGGCTGATATGAATTCGGTTGTTAACAATTGCAATCTTTTAGGCATACAAGTGGTATGAACTTGGATACCAAAGAGGTCACTTTGCATCAGTTTGGCAGCGCTCCCTCTACAATGTCAAGGGACTGAAGGCTCAGCCTTGGTGGACAGCAAGGGAAACTGGTTATACGGAACTGGTAAAGGTAAGGCAGCTTGTTTCTGTATACTTTGAATTTTATTTTATTTTTTTTCATAAGGTAAGCAAAACAAATGTAGATTCACAGAGATGGATTTAAAAAAAGGTAACAACATAGAATTTTAGTTCTTTAAAGTTCTTTATTTAATGCAAAGCAAGTAGTCTGGTTGTTGTTCGTAATATTAGTTTTAGCTTCCCAAATTGCATAATTTTTAATATTTTAACAATGGTTATAATAATTCCTTAAAAAATGAAAATTAAAATGGGGAAGAACATGTTTTTCCTTGTATGTTTTAATTATTGGTATGTGGTTTAGCAAAATTATTCTACACAGTTTATTCACAAGAGAAGTTGTTTCAGTGGTGGGTTTTTTTTTTTATACTTAGTTACATGACATGATAAAAAACTACTGTAAAAGGATGATTTTATTAGAAAGAAATTACAAAAGGAAGATTACTCTTCATTATGATTTTGATGGCATCATAAATAAGGATAGGAAATTTAGATTAAAGTGTGATTCTCCAGTTTCATCTCAGTCTCAAGAAAGAGCAATTAGCTTTATGGGCTGGTGTTTGGGAAGATCTTAAATGGTCATGTATTGAACTCATTCTTGAGGTGTGTGTAGAAGTAGATACTTCCTGCCATAAAAGAGTTGGAGAAACAGGGAACTTCTTATCATACTTTTGCCAAACAAAAAGGAAAGAATATGTATTATCTTATTGATGTTTTAGAGCTATCTGCAGTGATATTTTACAGTCTCTTAGGTGTAAACCATTCAGATTCCTAAATTGCAGAAGGTAATGGGGGGGTAACCTGTGTGGGGTGTGTGGGAAATGCTACCAAATCCCAGTGATAAAATTTGACCTAGAAAGCTGCTCTATGAAGCACTGTAGGCCCTGACCATCTCTTCCTGTGTCTCGCTGCTTGTTGATAAATGTGAATGGACAATTCTCATTTTCTTGGTAGCTTAACAGTGCTGACTGAAGATTTGTTTGTGGTTAACTGAGACAGCTCTAAAATGAGACTCTCTGACAGCTCTCTTTGTTTCATTCTGTTAAGCAGCATGGCCATGGTCAGTAGCATCTTATAGCACAGACCTGGCTTGATTTTATTATAAAGGGTCATGTAGTTTCTTGGCACTGGAGACAGAGATGTGAATTTTGACAGTGCTTTTTCCACTGTCCTTCTTCAGTATTCTCAGTTTAATAAATTTCTCCTGAGGGGCATTCAGCTCACTTAACTTTAGTCATACAGATGCGAGGCATATTGTCTGCTAGTGATCTAGTTTACAGGTATCAAAGTATTTCTAGAGGATGATTAATTTTTACTATGTTAAATAACTAAGGATGGCATGTCTCCCTTCCTGGTGTTAACTTTCCTACTGCTTCACAAAAAAAAATGAAGCCTAGGCAATTAATTTAAGCTTGATGTTTAACTGTCTGATGGGTAAGATTAAAGATGACAATCTCATACTTTATTTCCCTCACTATTACCTACTTGGCTGGATGTCTGGGGAGACTGGGAATATGTCAGTAACACTTACCGGGATATGTATGATGATGGTAAATCTCGCTTAGTGGTACCTTACTTCTTTCTAGCTGTGACCCATTAAGGCTTAATTTTATTGTAGTTTCCTTGAAAGAGTAGGAAGGGTGTCTGCCTGGTTTCTCAGGGAGCAGAAAATATAAACCTTTAGTTCAGTATCAAGTGATGTATGTAGAAATGTTCTGCTAATGTTTCTGATCTATGGTATCGCAGGCCTTTGGATCTGGAGAGTCAAGAAAATTTCTTGTTTGAGCTCAGCTAAATGAAAACCTTACTTTTTTACCTTTGAAAACCTGTCTTCTTCCCTTGGGACAATTAGCTTTCCTTTCTTACTGAGTCATTGCATCGTTCTTTGGTACCTTTTGTAGAACCTCAGCATTATTCTTCTATTCCAGTGCTCATTTTAAAGAATAAGGAAAGAGGTAAAATGCTCTTAGATCCTAGAGTCTTCTCACCAGTCTGAAATTAATACATAAGTAATGACCTAGGTAACTTTGTCCTTTCCTCGTGTTGTGTCGTTTGACTTATGGAAAGGACCTGGAGGATGCTTTGCCAATAACGTACTACAGCGAACAGATGATTGATTAAAGTAGATCTTGTATTGTCAGTTTGCCCTGATGGCTTAGATTTTATTAATTAAAAGTTTCAAGTGCAACAAGAAAAGCCCAGAAAGAGAATGAAAGTACTGACAACACCACGTATCCATAGTGTTTTCTGTAGGGTGACAGCTAGGGCTTAATGGTTTAGCTAATAATAGCTAAACATTCATATTTAATGGAGAAATTAAATGGAAATGTGCACTTAAAGTGTGGCTGGATGCTTTAAGGGGAGCCATGTGTTGAAAAGAGCAGAGATGATACGTACAAGTGCTGATGCTTAAGCATTGTGAGTGACCCACTGCGTGCAATGAATCTATTTTGAAAGGTTTAAGATACTGCTCCTTAGTTGGAGGTTGTCAGTGTTTCCCCAGCAGAGACACAGTAACTGATCATGAATACTCTCCTCCTCTTTTTCAGTAACAAATTGAAGTCTTCACCATGGTTTTATTTTACAGTCCAATGGGTTAAAATGGACATCAGTAGTTACGCATTGAAAGGGCTTGACAGCACAGAGTAAGGATTCTTTTAATATAATAGTCACACATAAAAACTGTTATTAAGAAATCCCTATTTAAATATAGTAATGCCAATAAAATCTACACTGTTGCCAGATGTAAAGCAACTGTAAACTTCCCTTATTGTTAGGAACTGTATTTAAAAAAAACATGGAGATTTATGGGAATCAGCTGCTAGGAAACAAGCACATGTGTTTCCAATGCTGGTTGCCACCTAGTTCTTCACTTGGAATCAGGATATTGCACCAAATATAATACAAATTTGTTGCTCTAACCTGAGGCTTGAATCCCTACATATCATGAAGCATAAGCGTGTTTCACTTTTTGCTGTAGATAACAGCTCTTGGATCAAAAGCTGTAAGTCCAAGTCCTGGACTTAGTATGTTTTTATGGTGCTTTGCATTCTTACCCATCTAAGGTATGTTTAGGAGTCTGTAAAATCAGGGAGATCAAGGCTGAGCTGGGTTTGATCTTCCCACTTCATTTCTACCTAGCAGCTACCTCCTACAGTAAAGCACTATCAGTGTGTTTTATAGATGGGATCCAGGTTTTCAGGAGTACAGACATGCTGTTGATTTCAGGGGAAGTTGTGTCTAAAACCATTGCGGATCTAGTTCAAAATCAGTGGCATGTATTCAAATTACTTTGTATCTAACAAGTTTGGGAAGGAGCTTTAAACTGCAGGGACAAACACCCATCTCTGCAGGTTAACTTTCAGCCTGGGGCATTAGTGAAAGATTAGAGGTGACAAAGCAGCTGTTGCCTGCAACCCCTTAGGCCACCGGTGCTCTTCATGCCTCCTCTTGTCTCTGTAGGTGAATGCCCCCTTACCTTTTTTCAGACAAGAAAGTAGGAGGAGTTTGAGGAGACAGGGAAGCACTTGTAATATGTTTTAAAGCTTTCCAGTTTGTTCATCTGTGTCACTTTAAATCGAGGCCAGTGTAAATGCAAGTTATTCTTTTATTTCTTGTCTCCAGCCAGAGCTAAAGCTGGTATTTTCTTTTGTAGATATGGTAGCACTGTATCAGTACCAGCACTGTTCCCATATTCATCTCTGATTAGGTGGAAATTTCCAGACTGTTCAGGGTTTTTTTGTACCTTGCATTTTTGAAAACTCAGTTTTCCAAGTGCATTCTAAGAAAACATTTCTACTTAATGTTAACCATTGAATGAGAGTTATGGAAACCCGTCAGCGGGAGAGAATAAGGTGAATGAAGCAGGAAAAATAAATGTTTTTCCCTTTTAGCATTGAATGAAAGAGAACAGAGTTAGCTAGGAAGAAGAAATTACCGTAATAACGGAAGTGCAATCCTAATTTTCGTAGGTCCTAGCCTACATAAAAATATTCTAGTGGCAGAAAGTCGCTGTATTATAGACAGCATGTTCTAGCCATGGCTTGCTTTGCTGAGCCTTTTATGATTTTGTAGAATCAGCTTGTCTTTTAATTTAAAAAAAAAAATCAAATTGAAAATGCAATTGTTTAATTTAAATAGGGAAGACAAATAACCATACAGATTTTTAAGGCTAAAAAGGGGTAGTTACATGACCTAGTCTGCTCTGTGTTATTCAAACTTTTGAGTTTTAGTCAGCTATACACATCATACAAAAAAGTAGTGTGGGAACACACCTTACTCTGTTTTCAGCATGAAACTGTTTGAAAATGTCTTACATAAATGCTTTGGTCAAGAGCACACAGAGAAATGAAAACTATTCTCCCAAATAAGGCTTAGTAAGCAAAGTAAGCAGCTGGGAAATGGAAGTTATACTGTGGGTTTTTCATTTATATTGCTGTAACATTAAAATGACTTATTATTGGTAGAATAAAAGGTTTTCTAATCTGTCTGATTTTTACAAATATAATGTCCTGAGGCAGCAGAGAACAGACATTTTAATGGTAGTATTTTGTGGGTTTGGTACGTATGAAGTACAAGGCAGCTTACACATTTTTAATGGTTGCATCCATAAATCATTACCCAGCATTTCAAATTGTATTTGATATTCTTCAATAGCATCAGCATGTGCAAGTGAATCTCTGCACTTTTTTGAAGGTTTAAATCATAACTTTCAGCTTAAGTGCCGTGTTTACATTTGTCCTTTGAACTGGAATGTTCTGCCAAAGCCCGGAGTCCCAGGTTAAGAGTGGTTTTGTAGTTGCAGGAGTGCTTCCAGGTAACGTGTGCAGTGTTGAAGAGCAATGCACTTGTTAGCTTGCAATACCAAATGAGCTGTTAAAGAGCCCTTAGGCTAATCAAAAAGCAAGTCAAAGTGAGGCCTAGCCTGCAAAGAGGCTGGCGATTATTGAAATTTTATGATCTAAATGTAATTGAATCTGAGGAATGCCATGAAAGTGTGTTTTCCTGCTTTAATTTGTCAGAAGGGAAATGAGTATAAAGAAACTTGATAATGATGATGAACACTTTTTGTTTAGTGCTTTTAAATTAAAAAAAAAAGTTAATAATGGCAGGAAAAAATAAAACCAGTACTAAAACTGAATGCAGTAAGTTCTCAGTGCAGTAACTTGGATCTCTCAACAGTCCTTAGAAAAAAATTGGAAGCTCATTCGGGATGAGGGGCTTGCTGTGATGGATAAAAAAAGAAGCCTTTTCCTGCCCGAAGATGAGAATCTACGAGAAAAAGGAGACTGGAGCCAGTTTACCTTGTGGCAACAAGGTAAAACATTTTGTATTTCTTCTCTTTCCCCTGTTTCACTTGCTCAGATTAATACAACGTAATAGGGAGTAGCAACACAGTTTTTTTCAGAACCCTTTTTTATAATCACTGAAATCTACAGTAGAAGGGAACTAATAAAATAGCACCTAGGATCTCTGTGACAGTGAACAAGAGTTCTTTATTCTAAACCATGTTGTCCTGAAGCACTTCTAATAATCCCTTGAAGTTAATACTCCTTCAAGTGATACAAAGCTGACAACATTTTGCATGGTGATGCATAGTAAAGAGCAGCCTGAGGGAAGACAGGAATGTAGGAGAAGGCGCATCCTCAATATTGTGTTGTCAGTGAGGTGAGAAATTGTATGAGCAAAAGAATATGACTTAGAAGCTTGCTGCCCTATGCCTGAGCTGTGCAGTGGGAGGCCCAAGACTTATAAGTCTCTTCTAAGAGACTTATTTTTATAATCATAAGACTATACAAGACTGCATATGAAAGAGTTCTGTAAAATGAAATATTAAAAGCAAGTTTTATCAAAATATAATCTGGTGTTGAAACAGCACGATACTGGTGGCTTTTCTCGTATTTTTTTTCTATGCAGTCTCATTATTGTTTAGACTTTTAGAAGCATGCTTAAAATATTAAAACCAAGTTATATCAAAATAGAATCTCTTCAAAAATGTATTATGTTGGTGGCATTTTTTTTCTATGCAGTCTCATTATTGTTTATACTTTTAGAGCAATGTTTAAAAAATTGTGGAAATCCTGGACTTCACAAATAATTTAAAAGCAAAGATGTGCAGGCTGCTCTGGTATTACAATGTTTAACTACTGTTTCACAGCCTGTAAAATGGGAATAATAATATTTACCTGTCTTTCAGTGTCAGCTCTTTGATAGCTTTGTTGCTTTCTGCAAAGCAGGAAACAAGGAAGTGTTTGATCATTGCCCTTACCAATACTCTGGCTGTTATTTTCACTAGGAAGAAAAAATGAGAATGCTTGTAAAAGTGTTCCAAAAACATGTGCTTTATTGGAAAGATTCCCAGAAGCTACTGGCTGCAGAAGAGGGCAGGTACATGACAAATTTCTTCATTTTTACAAATTCCTAATGCTGGGAGCAGGGGATTTTTTGGAATGCGTATGGAGGGATGTGAGACATTGGTATATTTAATGATGCCTCAAGCACACGATGGAGTTAACAGTAAAAATACACCCAGTTTTAGCCCTCAGCAGATTGAAGATGAAATATGTTAGTCAAAGCCTTTCTATGGACTCTAGCTGAGCCATTTTACCTTGTATTTCTTGGGCGCTCATGGTAGTTAAGTAGTTATTTGCTGTGGATCAACCAATAAGTAATGATTCACTAAACCCCAGCCCTGAGTGACCTGATCTGGCTCGTGGCTAATCCTGCTTTGAGCAGGAGGCTGGATTAGGTCCTTTCTAACCTGAATTCTTCTTTTTTTCTGATCTGAACCTAACTTTACAAAACTCATTCAGTGAGCCAGGTTCTCATTGTCTACCCCAGCCTGGTTGCAGTAGACAGGAGAATCACCTCATGGAAGCCAAACAAGAGTACTACTGTCACATGCTTCTTTCCTAAAGGTAAAGGAAAGAAATTTTACATTCGTGAGCTGTGGCCTTGGGTACCAACCCAAGTGCCTGGTCTACACTGTCTCCTTGGCTGCAAATTAACCTCATTAAATCGTGCAGTAGACTTATATGGTATGGATGAATACATATGTAGCTGAATGAATGGCCCAGTACAGATATATGATTCTGTAGGGCAGAATTTTTCATAGGGTTTTTTCCAAGTTGTTATATTTTATCTGTAATGACTGCATGAGAATAACCATCATACTGCAAAATTAAGGATGTGAAAGTTGTAAAACACAGTGCTAGCATAATCCTATTTCAGAGCCTTGAAAGGAGGTGTTCACCAGACGAGTGCCTTTGATCTAGTGCAGAAGTGCGCTAGATGGCTACTGTTTGTGGGATTGAACAAGGCTATTGTTTCACTGATTTGTTGCAAAGTCTGATTGTAGTGAATATAACTGATGGATGTATTTATGTGAGGTACTCACATTGTGTGGCTGAGAGCAAGAAAACTGCTTTCTGTGGCATCCATAGCCAAAATGGACCTATCCTAGGGAGCAAATTCTCTCTGAGAGCTACTATTTTGTTCACAATTTTTTAGCACCCCACATGGTATCACCAGGATTTGGTTTTCAGAGACATTGTGTATTTACAGTTATAGCTGTAGTCATGTGTTTTGAACGTATAAAATGTAACATAATATGAATAATGGTGCACTTGAGTTCATCCACTACTGGGGGATGCCTAGGACAATTCTGATTTTATGGTATCCATGCCTCAGATTCTTATTGGTAAATTAAGTTTAAAATACCACCTATTCTGTATGCACATACAGAAACAATGGGAACAAATCAGGAAATTGGGAGTTTGTCCAGTGGATTGCCTATTAGGGTGCTTTGGGCAAGTCATGTACTGACAAAGATTAACAAATGTAAAATAATCACCTGCTTAGTGCTGCTGAGGACTGTGTAGAACAATAACAAGTGATTGTATTATTAAAAACAATATCATTCTTCTCAAAAATAACGGTAAACTAAAAGTAGCACAGGGAGTTTTAATTCTGGGTGTTTCTTAACTCTTCAGAGTTTTAAATTACAACCATAGTATAATCCATTGGTAGATAGGACTATTTATATATAGTACTTGAGGACAGTGCATGCATTTAATTCATAAGCATATCCAGGCTGATCTGTGTGGACAGATAAAATACATGACAGTAATCATTCTGCAGTGCTGGTATATTAGCATTAAAAAAAATGGTTTTCTGGGATATTAGTAACTATCCTGCATAACCAGTTATTTGCATTGCATTAGGGTCTGACAGGGCAATCGAGTTAATGCACCTCAGTGTAGCAGAGGTGGTAAGCTGAAATCTCAAGATGGTGGGAACAGCTAAGGCATTAGGCACACACTGTCTTCTGCTGATGTTGCTACAGTTGGAGAGCAAGTAACACCTTAAACTGTAAGATTTATCAGTTACCCTATCCCAGCCAGATGTGCAGATTTCTCAGTTGAAAAGACACTTCTCACCACTGCCATGCATTATTCACACTTCCTGTTCATCCAGTTGTTGTAGAATCGCACAAAGAAGGAATGAGAAGGGGCGTCTGGAGGTTACCTAGTGCAACCCCCTGCTCAAAGCTTCATGAACTAGAGCAGATTACTCAGGACTGTGATCAGTCAGGTTTTGAATGCCTCTGAGGGCAGAGACTCTGCAGCCTCTCTGAGCAACCTGTTCCAGTGCACAGAAATTGGTTTTCAATGTTTAAATGGAGTTTCCTGTTTTTCAATATCTCTCTGTTGCCTCTTTGCCTGTCACTGGATACCACTGAGAAGAGCCTGCTTCTGTCTTCACTCCTCCCGTCAGGTATTTATATGCATAGATAAGATCCCCCCTGTGCTTTCTGTTCTCCAGGCTGAGCAGTCCCAGCTCTTTCAGCTTCCCCTTGTATGTCAGATGCTTCAATTCCTTAATCATCTTTATAGCGCTTAACTAGACTTGCACTGGTATGTCCATATCTCTCATAGTATGTAGTACAGAGGTTGACCCAGCACTCAAGACATGTCACCAACTCTGAGTAGAGTGGAAAGATAACCTCTTTCAGCCCGCTGACAAAGCAATCCTTGCTGCACTCCTGGTGGCTGTTGGTCGTCTTTGCTGCAAGGGCACACTTCTGGCTCATGTTCAGATTGTTGTCTATGATGACCCCACAGTCTGTTTCTGGGAATTTGCTTTCCAGACAGTTGTGCACCAGCTTGTATTGGTACATGGGATTATTCCTCCCCAGTGCCGAACTATACCTTTCTTTTTGTTGAACGTCGTAAGATGCCGATTCACTCTTTTTGCTGGCCTGACAAGTTCTGTTTGAATGGCAGCAAGAAAAAAAATAATGTATCAGCCATTCCTCTCCAATTTGCTATCGTCTGCAAACTTGTTGAGGGGGATGCACTCTGTCCCATCATCTAAGTCGTTTGTGGAGCCATTAAACAGGTTGAAACCAACAATGGGCCCTGACGTACGCCTCTGATGAGTGGCCTCCAGCTGGACTTTATGCATCTGATCGCCACTCTTTGAGCCTGGCTTAACTGATAGCTTTCAGTTCACTTCACTGTCACCTTACCAAGATTTTATTTCATCTGTTTGTCAGTAAGGATGTTTATGGCAGACTGTGTTGAAGTGCTTACTAAAGTTGAGATAAAAAATATCCACCAATCTCTCGTCATCCACCAAGCTAGACTTCTCACCATGGAAAGCTGGTAAAGTACAATTTCCCCTTCATAAATCCATGCTGACTGCTCCCAGTCATGTTCTTTTCCTTGATGTGTTTAGAAATGGTTTCCAAGATTGTTAACTTCATCACCATCCTAGGGATTGAGATGAGGCTGACTGGCCTGTGGTTCCTCAGATCCTCCTCCTTGCCCTTCTTGAAGATAGGAACAATGTTACTTTCTACCAGTCTTCAGGAACTTCTGCTGATTTCAATGACCTTTCCAAGATTATTGAGTGTGGATTCAGATTTTCCAGCTCCCTCAGCACTCAAGTGTGGATCGCATCAGGACTCATGGACCAGTTTGAGTTTGTTTAAATGTGCCCTAACCTGACCTTTCTTCATAGAAGATAAGCCTTCTTTGCTCCAGTCTTTGCCACTGGTCTCAGTTGCCTGGGATTCCTGGAAATCACTCATGCTGGTAAAGACTAATGCAAAGAAAGCATGTAGTGCCTTAGCCTTTTCCAAGTCCTTTGTCATCAGATCTCCTGGTTCAGAAGCAGGCCCATGTTTTTTCTAGACTTCCTTTTACTGCTGATGTATTTGTAGAACACTTGTTCTTCACTTCCATCTCCAGATTCAACATCAGGAGAGCTTTGACTTACTAATGTCATCAGTGCATGTTCAGAGAGTGTCTCCTACAGTCTTTTGGGTGACTTGTCCCTGCTTTCACCTCTTGTATGCTTCCTTTTTGTGCTTCAATTTTGTCTGAGTTTCCATTACTCCTGCACATGGGGATGAACCATTCTTGAGCTTCATGAGATAATACTATTTATCTCATAGAAATAATTTCTATTATTTTAAACAGAAATTCTAAAAAAATAGACCCGTTTTCTCTCCAGCACTGGATCGTGGGATCTTTCCCAGAAGATCCCTGAATAAGTCCAAGTCTGCTCTTCAGAAGCTGCAGGTGGTAATCCTGTTTTTGCCTTTCTCCCTTCTCTCAAGATCCTGAATTTCACCATCTCATGGTTCCTGCAGCCAACACTGACAGTCACCTTCACATCCATGTTGCCATCTCAGAGGGGCTGGCCAGTCTGGCTAACACAGGCTTTTCTCCTGTAGTCTGTCCTTTTGAACAGTAAGTGGCTGTAACCCTTTGCATAGTAAAAAAAGTATTCTTCTGATTGTGGATAGGGGGTAATGATTTCCAGATTAAAATATGAGTACTATTTATTTAAGCAAAATGAAAAATATGAACTTTCACACACACACCTGGATGCATACACACTCCACGAGACATGTTTTCTGTATAATTAAACATGTTTAGGACATTGCACTTTTGACCCATCATCAAGGATGAGATGCAATGAAGTCCTGAACTCCTAGCAGTATGGTTGTGAAGCTGAACGTGTTGAAGGCCTGCCTTTCTCTTCCTGCAGATCAAATATTCTGTCATGCACCCGGGGACTCATGTCTGGCCCCACACAGGGCCCACCAATTGTCGGCTAAGGATGCATTTGGGCTTGGTGATACCTAAGGAAGGCTGCAGGATTCGATGTGCCCAAGATAACAGGTATGGTTGGGTGTTTGGGGTTCTTTTTTCCACCTTTCTTAAGGCTGAAAAAGGGACTGCATGTAATTACAGGAAAAAAAAAAAAAAGAAAGGGTGTATTTTACTGTTCAGGAGTTGTAATATATTTCCTTAAACTGCTAATTTACACACTAATTCTTGCTACAGATGTATAAATATCAGTTCTCAAACAATGCCAGAGGGATCTTTGGAGACAAAGCTGTCCTTTGCTATGGCATGGAAATAACAGTGGGTTTAGTCCCCAGATTCTCTGTGTTTACTTTTACAATGCCACTCTAATAGGGTGTCAGCAGAGTTCCTCTATTTGTTTTGATTTGAGGTGGGGGGCTTAGATTTCATTGTATGTACCTCCATTCTCACCACCATGACAGAGTACTCTTGTATTTCTGGCAGAAGCCTCCTTCCTAGCTGATATTATTTGTTATGATTCAGTTAAAAATGTTCCAGTTGAAGTTGATTTCAAGGTGGAGACATCTATGAAGTGTTTGGCCCAATTAGTTACACAGATAGCAAATTTCTTTAAAGTGCATTTAAAGTAAAGAATTCTTACCTCTTAGGGAAAAATTATGTAGACTTGAAGACCGGTTCTGTCTTTGTTTGCTTGGTGCAGAAAACAGAATAAGATTCAACAGCTTATACATTTACAATCAGGGTATATACTCCCCTGGGAAATATGAGGACATGTGAGAAATGATAAAGCATTCAAGCCTGTGCTGGAATGTGTTAACTTTAGTTGCTTTTGGCAAGAACTATACGTTCGGAATCAAAGCAGGATTTTCCCTGAAAGCACTGAAAGTGTGTCTACTGCTGGCGATGAAAGAGGGTTTTTTTACATCCCTTCCCTCATGAAAGAGGAGGTGAGTGAAGTACTGTGGAAGGAAATGGCGAAAGGAGGAAATCCTACCTTAGGCATTTTCCATTCATTCCTCCCCTCCTGGTGGCTCAGAGCCATGGTAAACTAGTGGTTTCAAACAGGAGGGCTGGTTCAAATGTGAAGGTTATTGTAGATCAGACCTTTTCTGGCCTCCTGTTGCACTGCTCGGTGTATGAGAACACAGAAACAGTGAGAATGTTGTGCTTGGTTACCGTTGTGTCATCCAGTGGGGGTGCTTAAGGGGGCAGTGTTACAATGCAACTCATCCTTTGATGGACAGGCAACTCAGCTCTGTCTAGAACTGTGTTCTACCCCTTCACCTGCAGAAGAGTCTTTCTGCAGCTGCTAGGAGACGTACACCTCACTATGATTCAGTACAGCTACAGGGATTTTAGGTTGTTGGGCCATGTTGAAGTCCCAGCACTGTAAAGTGTTGGGTACAATGCACAAAAATGATAGGTAAATAGTATCTAGTTCCCAAAATCTAACATCTCTGTTTTGAAATGAAAGTGCAGAATTACAGCCTTATGCAGAAGCCAGTCCAAGATCTTGCCTGTAACAGCTCACACTAGAGCCCTACAGGTGATATAGAAACTGCTCCCAAAGTGGCTTAGCACCAGGCCAGAAGAATGTCATCCCTGTGGTCCCACTGTGAAGCCTTTCTCACACCATGAAGGCTTCTAGAAAATATTTATTTGCATGCTAATGGTGGGGTTTATAGTCTATACAAAAGGGATGTTGTGGTTTAAGCCCAGCCAGGAACTCGGAACCACGAACCCATTCGGTCACCCCCTCTTACCCCTTCCTCTGAGTGGGACAGAGAGGAGAATTGAAAGAATGTAAACTGCCTGGGATAAGATAAGAACAGTTTAATAAATAAAGTGTAATATAAAACTACTACTAATAATAATATAAAAATGGTAAGGGAAATAACAAGGGGAAAGAATATTAAACTAAAAAGGGAAAGGGAAAGAAACTAAAAGGGAAAAGGGAGGAGGGAACATAACCCAAAACAATAAACACAAGTGATGCACAATACGATTGCTCACCACCCGCCGACTGATACCCAGCCCGACCCGAGCAGCGATCTGGGCCTTCCGGGTAACTCCCCCCAGTTTCTATACTGGGCATGACGTGCTGTGGTATGGAATAGCCCTTTGGCCAGTTTGGGTCGGGTGTCCTGTCTCTGCTTCCTCCCGGCTTCCCCTCCTCCCTGGCAGAGCATGAGACTGAGAAAGTCCTTGGTCAGAGTAAGCATAACTCAGCAACAACTAAAACATTGGTATGTTATCAGCGTTGTTCCCAGACTAAAGCCAACACAGCAAACAAACAAACAAAAAAAACCCCAAAAAACCAAACAACCAAAAGAAAGCAAAACACAGCAACCCCCATCAACAGTAAAAAAGCCGCCAATACAAAATACCCCCAAAGTACCAATAAAACAACAAAAAAACCTGCACTCACACCCAAAAAAACCCCAAAGTTTGTTTGATTTTTTTACCACATTATAGCATTGCAAGTGGTTGATTCCTACTGAGTTGGATAATGCCAAGGTAACTTTAGTTCATGAGCAGAGACTCAGAGTCTATAAGGCATAAAATGTTTTTGTTATCAGATAACTGATATGGTAGCAGAAAAAACAAATCATTGTAGCTGAAACCTGCAAAATTATCTGGGCCTTCAAGGCTGATGTCTTTGTGCAAGCCAGTGTGTATTTTTTACTGTAGTATGCTTTATGGTTGCTTGAAATATCTTTAGATCATCATTTCAGTTGAAATGATCCAATTTCTATTTCTACTTCTCTTCAGAACATTACAGCACAAACCCATAAATTTCGATGGTTAATTTTCACTTCTGTGGAATTAAAAATACTGAGATTACGTGGGATACTAAATTTCATTTTGACCCTGTTTTTGAAAAAAGAAAATTGTTTTCTCTGGGAGTGAACACAGCTGAATAAGCAATGTATTTCCATGTTTGATGGCAAGACTTCTGTTTCATAGTTCTTAATTCTCTTTAAGGGCATCCATCCTCTTGCACTGTTTCAGCTCCTAAGGAATCCTGTTAAAAAACTTGGTTGTGTGGTCATGGTAGAGTGGCTTCATCCAGTCTCAGTGAAGGGGTATAATGAGAGGCGTGCTTTTGTCCTGCTGCAATGCAAAATAAAGTTGCTTTGCTTATACCACTGCCTGACTCTACAATAGAAAAAACATGTAACATAATGAGCTGCAGTGTCTAAACACAATGGGCAAGATTGAGATCTGAGGGGAGATGACAAATGACTAGCGCAGCAACTTTTTGATTTGTCGGGACATTATCAGCGGTCACTGATGAGTTGCTGATTTTATGCAGTATAAGTGCATTTAATCAGGCTCTAAACCTCTTTTCAAAACTGAATCCAGATCTCAGCAGGCTGGAGGAACATGCCAGCCGAAACTTCATGAAGTTCTACAAAGGCAGATGCAAAGCCCTGCAACTGGTAACAACAGGGGTCAAGTTGAACATGAGTCCTAGTGTGCTCTTGTCTTGATGAAGGCTAGCTGTGTACGGGACTGTATTAGTGAGTGCGTATGAAGCAGTTTGAGGGGAGCAATTGTTTTCCCTCTCTTTTACACTCAAAATGCTGCCTCTGGAGCGTTGTGTCCAGTTTAGGCTCTTCAGTACAAAAAAGAGAGGGACTCCAGTGGAGGATGGAAAAAAATGATTAGGAGATTGGAGCATCTGACACATGAGGAGAATCTTGGAGAGCTGGTTTGGAGTCTGAAAAAGAGAAAGCTAAAGAGGAACCTAGTTACTATCTTCAGCTGCTAGTGGGTGACTGTGCAGAAGGCAAAGCCAGGCTTTTCTGAGGTGTCCAGTTACAGAATCAAAGGTAATGGACACAAGTGAGAGTGAAGAAAATTCCATCTAGATAGAAGGAAATTTTCACAGTGGGGTTGGTGAAACACAGGAAGAGATGGTGGAATGTCTGTCATTGCAGATATTCAAAAATCCACTAGTCAGGAACCTGAGACATCTCGTCTAACTTCAAAGTTGGGTCTAACTTTGCAGTGCATCTTCCTCTGAGCAGACACTTGGACCACATGCCCTTCCCGAGGTTTATTCTTACCTGGCTTATTCTGTGATTCTGTATTATACTAAGTAAAATTGACAGAAACACTGATTCTTCCAACAATTAATATCTCCCTTCTACACTGCCTCTTGCCATTACTTTTAAATCTGGTAATTTTGTTAATCTTTCAGATGATGGAGATGCTCAAAACCAAACCATGTTGAATAAATTGTGTGTATCCCTTTTTGTGCCTGATGAAGATACAGATGTTGGAAAAGTACCACTGTTAAAACTTAGCTCTTCCATGCTGTAATGAACAATCAGCCAGAGTATTTACACCCTTTCAGTGATCTGCTCTGCTTAGCAGTACTTCGCAAGCAGAGGGGCTTTAAGTTACATGGTCTCATCCTTCCAGTTTGACTTTGACAGTGTAGTTAACCCAGTGTACACCATGGCATTACAACCTTCCTCTGAAGAAAAATCTTTAAGTTTAGTGCTTTGAATGGATTTATGGGACAAGACTGGTAAAATCCCTGGAATAGTAAGCATGATCAGGGCCTAATTCTGTTGTTCTGATTTTCTAGAATAAGCAGATTGATTTAATGTAATTTGGTTTCGAACCATATAATCAGATTACTGGTCATTCCCTCAGTTTCCATCACTCATTATGTATGTATCTGATTAGAAAAGGAGAAAAGTTGATTACTACACCAGTTATTAATACCCGCTCCCTGCTTATTGGACTCAACTCATTAAAAGTATATAAATAACAAGTATTATAAATGTCTGAATCTGTATGTGGGCATAACTGTGCAGAGTGAGGGGAAACAATCCCTCATTAATAAGAAGGTCCATTAATGGAGCAAATCAATCTGCTCCGTTATGCAGACTGATCTTTCTGTAGTTTATTTACATTAAAATCCTGATACTTCAGTCTCTGTATTAGGTAGTGAAGTCCTGACTGTGCAATATATAGTGTTTAAATCATTCTGGTATGCGAAAGAGTATTGATATATAGCTTGTCTGCTCTGTAGCACTTCCAGTATTGCACCAAAGCATGTTCTTTTTTGTGTTGCAGAGCCTGGGAAGAAGGGAAAGTTCTTATTTTTGATGACTCTTTTGAACATGAAGTATGGCAGGATGCTGAAGATTATCGCCTGATATTCATTGTGGATGTGTGGCACCCTGAGTTAACAGCACAACAGAGACGCACCCTTCCTGCTATTTAAGGGGTTCCTTCTGATGTGCAGAGCAGAGGAGTTTAACCCCCTTGGAGAGGTTATCCTATGTGAATAGGATTAATTTATCCAGCATACAAAGAAAACAAGTATTGTAAGGGTTAGCAGAGATAAGGACTACATTCTGCAATCATGAAGGACTTGATTTTAAAAAAAGAAAAAAAAGGAAAAAAAAAAAGCCATGTTTTGTTTCATACTGGTACAGCACTGATATAAGTTTGAAAATATGAATCTTGTCAGCCAAAGAGCAATAGGTCTGAATTTTCAAATTAAGGAATGTGCAGATGTTTTTTTGCCATGCCTGTATTATGCATACTAAACCAGTCAGTTATTTGCCCGACCATTTTCAGGCACAATATTTGCAATTCTATATGTGGGAAATATTTCCCAGGCTTTTATCTGGGAAGCAACATGTAAGATATTTACAAGCATATGCACACAACCGACTTTGAAAATGAGTATGCAGTTTTAACATTAGCTGCTTTAGGCCTAGAGCATGTCCCTATGTTATCAACTGTAGATAATGTGAATGGGTTATATGTGTTTTGTATTTTTTTCTATATAGTGACTGTATTTTTCTAGCATAATTATGAACAAATCTTCTTTACTCAACCACTATTTTTTAAAAAGAACAACATATATATATATGTGTGTGCATCTCTAGCTATCAGCAGAAGGAAAACACTATATGAACAGATTTCATTTTTGTCCAGTGTGGCCTTCTCTTGCCTTCCTGGAAATGCAAACTGAAACTTGCATAACCAGCTGCTTAGTGAAGATTTGTTCTGCTAAAACAAAATAGTTCTCTTAGTTAGCAGCAACCTTCAGTTTGATAATGTGACTTTGGAAGATACTGAGCAAATGTGACATCTGTAGGTTCAGACCTTAAACTTCTTTATGTGGTGAACTGCTGTTTCTCCTATCATTAGAAAAGTTTGTGTTGTGATATCTGTTTGCTACCCAGCAAGGGTCTGGGACACATCCTTCCAGGGGATCCTTCTGGGCTGTCATTAGGTGTTCATTCAGCCGGAGAAAAAAAATTATATGAAGAACTTCTTGTGCTTTGGGCAGAAGGACAAGGTCTGCATTGGTTTCCTGCCAGAATGCAGAGAGACAAAGAGCTTCAGATTATTAACTTTTATTAACTTCTCTTGCCAGCATCCTACAGAGTGCTAGAATGATCCTTTAAATGACCTAATGGCGTTTTCCTTGTCTTGAAGTGTATGACATATTGCTGAAGTAGTCTTATCCCAGTACTGTTTACTGTATGTTCCGAATTTGCCATACAGAATTTACACTGTGGTAAAAAGGCCTGTTTTCAAGGAAGAAAACTGATTGGATATTTAAGCAGTTAGCTGGTTCGGGGGGGTCTGTACTCTTTATGTGGGAGATGGAGGGTGCAGCACTATGCACTGTTAATTTCTAAAAACACTAACAGGAAAGAGAGACCTGAGGTTGCGCAGTTGATGCTTATGACTGGCTGTTACCTACTCTCCCACAAACCCAGCTGGGTGTGGATAGGTGTGCTAGGATGCTCAGGGCTTGTCATGAGCAGTGGCAACATTACTGAGGGTTTTGAGAGGCAAACACTAAGCAAGGAGATGCTGAGGTTACTCAGTCTCCACAGCTTCAGCTTTCTTGACCAAAAAACACTGAACAGTCATTATATCTGTTAATGCTCAGTGGTTTTGTGCTAAGTGTCGTGACCAGAATGCCATATTTGCGGAAGCAAAATACAGATACGAGCTTTGCATTGCCATAAATTGAATGCTTTTCAGATTTTGTATTTTACTAGGTAATTAAATCTTGTAATGCGATGTAACACATGATGATTGCACCATAAATTAGTGTAGCCAGTTTCTGGAAGTGTGCACTTTAATTTCCTTTTTGAATATTAAACTGAAAAACCCTCTCTGGTCAAAGTCAGTTTTAGACAACTATTAAGCTTTAACGTTCATGTTGGACACTGTTCATGTTGTCCGTGTCAAAAATAACTCTGAGACTATACACAATATACAAGACAGTAACAGTTCTCAGTTAATCATAATGAAAACTTAAAATATTTGGAGATTTTTTTGGAAAGCTTTAGGAGAATCATGTGCTAAACTGGAAACAAGGTACTTGTTACTGTGGAGGGTAAAATAGTAAAAAAATAAGAAATGAAATCTCCTGGTAGTTGTATAGTCACAGACTGTATCTCTCTCTGTAAGGTGATCAAGAAGTACAAATTAAAAAATATTTTGTAATTCTCTAAAATAAAGACATAATTTGTAAAGAAGGAATCAAGAACTGTTTAAATAAAAATTTGTGGTTTAGGAATATTTTTATTACTGTTGCATTTTAGTTTCTAGAGCTCACAGGAAATACTGAAGAAATGGTAAAAGCTTTGGGACTTTATTTATGGAAATCCATGCCATCCTTCACATTGTTTCATTGTTCCTTTGAAGGGTTATACTTCATCTTTTCCTATTGCAATTGGCAAAAAGATAAAATTGGCAAATACATAAAAGTAATCTCCACAAGATGTGCGTGTGCTGCACTAGCACTGTTTATTAAATTGTGTAGTGATATACTGGCCATTTAAAATCTTAAGTGTCTTGAATATAGCAAAGTATATTGTGAATAGCTCCTGTAACACTGAAGTGAATCTACTCTGTCCCTACCTGTCAAGTTGCTGAAAGCCTATCTGTTTGTTAGTTACAGTTACTGGATTAGCTATATACATGGGGGAGGTTATAGCAAACTACAGAAATTGTGCCTTGAGTAAGTCATATATTATTTAAGTATTCCTGTTTGCCAAACAATATTTCATCTTGAAAAAGCTTTCCAGCGTTGGAAACGCCAATGGAAGAAGTGAATGGAAGTGTTTTTTAAAATGGAGATCTGTTGCAATTTAAATATTTTTTCCTTTAGATTTATTTGTAAAGGGAAATGACAGAAAAGGACAATATAATTTCCTGTTTTAAAGCGGTACATACCTGTTACAATGATAGGAGCTAGATTCCTCCCTGCCTGTAGTTACCTTGCTTGCAAGCGCAGAGTCTGTGTAAGATTCTACAGTTAAATACAGGCATTGTACAGTTATATACAAGGCATCATACGAATGTATTCATGTCACAGCTAAAGAAAATAAATATTTCTAATCCTCTGCAAGGTTTAATCCTCAAGGACAAGATTTCAGTGATATTTGCACTTCTTGGGCAAAACAAGTCCCACTTGAATGAACAATGTTTGTAACAGGTCATCACAAAGATTCAGTGGCATGTGTATTAACAGAGAAAAATTGATGCTGCAGTATAATAATCAGTGTCTACCTTTTATTGTCTGTTGGTTTTTTCACTTCCTGCTTTAGACAAGTTCTCTATAGCAAATCCAAATGCCTGTGAGACTTCATGAGCCAAGGGAAGGGGAGCTGTGTCCTTTTGCCAGGAGTTGACATCTAGTTTTCTGTAATAGGTGGTAATGCCAGGGGAGGGGAAATGGAAGAAATCCCAAAGATAAATGGGCTCAGTTGTCTTATTTAATGGTCCTGCAAGCCTCTGCTTCTTTTTTCTGACTCCTGTGTTGCCTTACTGGGGCCATCCACTGCCTTAAAGATTTGCTGTCTGCCGTGGAGGCCGGGCTTTGTGTCAATGACATGCTGCTGCAGAAGAAGGGTTAGTCTGAATGAGGCTACCCGGTACAAATACTAGAGGGTAAATCCCAGGTGTGTTGATAGGATCTGGCAGGATGTCCTTTCTGCCCTGTACAGGCATAGAATGTTGTAGATAAAGGCAGTGTTTTGTTAGTCCATGTCTTAGGGTTGACCGTGTCCAGTTGAACTATATGGTCACTTCAGTGTATCACTTAGGAATTCAGTGGATGTTCCAGAGGCACATTAAAAACTCTCGTGCCCATTATCATCTCATTTGATATATGTGGTTTACACTGCTACATTTGATATGTTTTTGTCAACTGCTTGTTCTAGTAAAATGTCAATGTATGGCAATTTAATTGAAGACTAAAGGTGTGTACAGTGGTTGTAACTGGTTTAGGAAATAAAGTCACTGCACATGAAATTTGATAACGATTTTTCTTTTATTTCTTTAATCCAGTTTCCATTTCAATGAAGGGATGGGACTGTCTTTGCAGCCAGAGCAAACAGAGAAATAACAAACTGATCTTTGGCATTTCAGTTCTTCTATTCTTCCACATTTCCTTCTAGCAGAAGCTTGTACTGAATAATAAATGCAAAGTTTTCCTTTTTCATTTTAATCATGGCCCACGTCTGCAATCAGCATACCCTTTTGGCTACACCTTTCATTACACTGCAGGAGGGAAGGGGGTAAATGGCTCCGCCGAGCTTGTATTTGCTGTTTTGACCTAAATGAAACAATCTGGATGGAACCATTAATCACTGGTGAATGTGTCCAATGGGTCTCCCTAGCAGCCCTCTTCGCACATGCACACACATGCACACACGCTTCTCTAATAGGCTCCTGAGTTGCCTGTGGAAAAACACATCGTTAAATTCAATAATTGCATTTCAGATTGTGTGCGTCTGCTGCCCACACAGCTCATTCCACGTAGCTGACAGTTTTATACGGGCTTCGAAAGTTAAGAGTAATTTTTGCTAGATGCTGAAATGTGACCCCCTGTAAGCAGCATGGATGAGGTGGTCACAAAGTGTCATGTTGAACAGCATTATGATGGCACTGATTTATTTTATTTTCTTAATGTGAAATCTTTCTGTAAAACTTGAGCACTCTGTAGAGGCTGCTGTTTCTGCCCTCAGTGCCAGATTAAACTGATGATTACAGTGCAAAGTTTAAGTTTGAGATGTTTTTCTTTAAAACACACTTAACCTATGCTTCTATAAAACTGGGCATCCCTGCTGGAGTCTTCAGGAAAGCCACTGACACACCGTGGTTTCTTCGAACAGAGAATGCAGTCCCATAATTTCCAATAATTTAATGTCATAAATCGGAGAAAAAAAAAAAAAGAGTTCTTTTTCTATGGACAGACTCCTGTGTCAGTAGAAACTTCTCAGTTTTTGTTCAGCGTCGGCCGCACGGACAGATGGCTGGTGACAGTTGTTACTTGTCAAGAAACATGAAGGACTTGTTCTCAAGCAAAACACGGGCATGAGTGTGTGTGTGTTGTGTGCTCTGTGGGTTCCTGGTGTGGTGGAAGTCTGTTAATGTGTATGTGCATGTTGGGCACATGGGAGCTCAGTCCAGAGCCAGCAGTGGTTGGGTGTTCTCACTTTCACCCTGGTCTTCGTGTTTCAGCGTGCCGGCTTCCACCACAGACTGGGACCTGAAAGCAAGAAGACACGCATGCTAGCGAGGGCTGCTACAGAAGCACTCACCTTCCTGGAGTCCCTTTGCTTCGTTTTATGGTTTTGGCTTTTGTCCATTTTCATCTTAACGGCCTTTTAATTCTTTTCTGTGGAATTCATATGGAATTTGAGAAGCATTCATTTAAATATGAACAGGGATCTGACTCCTTGTAGATCTCAAATGCTTTCAATTTAGTGCTTACCTACTATCCATAAAGCTGAACACACCCAGCAATTTAAAGGCCTGTTTCTGAGATACGATGGGATCTGTTCGTGCTTTATGTCTTCCTAGGCAAAACTGCTTGTGCAACTGCTTGTTAGAAAGCAAAGTCATCTGTACAAGTGCTTGCAGAACTGATTTTCAGCTCATGCTTGTTACAGACCTCAAGCAGATCAATCACATTTTATTGATGTAGAGGTTTGAGGAGCAAAATGTCCACGAGTTACCCAAGATCAAGTAAGAAGCCAGCATTAATACAACAAAGGAGCTTATGGTGTGCCCAGTCCTGCACTTCATCTGTTTCCCTGCCTACGCCCTTGAAGAACTTTATTCAGGGGTAGTCCATTTAAAATTAATTTCTGACTTCAAGATGGGAAGGATAATTTATCCTTTGGTGTTACTGGCAAAAAAACCCCAAAACAACCAAACCCAACACATAAATGAATAAACACTAGAGCATCATGATTTCTTGCACTGACAAATGCTTAACAGGGTTAAACTAGTTGGAAAGTTAAAGACTATTTCATTTTCTGAGGTCTGTGTGCTTCCACCGTGCTATGGAAGGAGGAACTGTTGAGTTTGTTGTTAAAGGGATTTGTTATCTTCCATTTTCTACGGTTTAGGCTGGGAGTTGCCTCTGGGTTTGGAGTGGGCTTTAGAGTGAAATCACTGTGAATTTGGAAATTTTAAAAAGGGAACTTTTTCAGATGTAGGGGTAGCATCATAAAGCCTGGGCATTTGCATAGTGCATAATACCATTTTAAAGAGACAGCTTTCTCATGCATAGCTTTTAGAAGTAGGAGTAGCTCTTATTCCCTACAGGATCTGTTTGTAGTTCCCAATTTTTCATTATGGTAACCTCAGTTTAAGCCTTAGCTATCTCATGAAATTAGGTACCACCTCTCTTTTGATAAGGATCATTAATAAATTGCATCCTTTGGTAATGCAGAAAAAAAAGAATACCATGGAATAACTTGTATAATTATTTTTCTTATTCTTATTCCTGGAGCTTTCATTAAAGCATAATAAAAAATTTTCATTAAAAAAAAAAAAGTCTCCAAAGGGAGATAACAAAACCCGGATGCTCAACGGGAAGATTTTATTCCAATATTTTCAAAGAAAATATGTTTGCTCAAATGATTTTGCTGTGTATTTTTTTTACCGTAATGTGACATGTGTGATGTTTATGAATGCATTTTAATATGGAAAGGCAGCTGGTTCAGGAGATTAGGCAAAATGGCAATTTACATATTTCTAGTATGTGGCAGCAAAAACATCATGTGGCTTTGAAACTGATGCAGAATGGATACAAATTGCAACATCAACAGGTCTTTATTTTCTTTTCTGACCTACCAGATTAAATTATTATTAAATAGTACTTTATTAATACTTGTCACCAATGTATTGTTTCCGTCTGATCCACTGCTCTACAATGAATATAAAAAGTTGCAGATGCATTGAAGCATTTGCCAGCATAGAATCATAGAATGTTTTGGATTGAAAAGGACCTTAAAGATCATCTAGTTCCAACACCCCTGCCATGTGCAGGGACACCTCATACTAGACCAGGTTGCTCAAGGCCATGTCTAACCTGGCCCTGAGCACTGCCAGGGATGGGGCAGCCACAGCTTCTCTGGGCAACCTGTGCCAGCGCCTCAGCACCCTCACAGTAAAGAATTTCTTCCTTATATCTAATCTAAATCTACCCTCTTCCGGCTTGAAGCCATTCCCCCTTTTCCTATCACTACTTGCTCTTATAAAAAGTCCCTCTCCAGCACCCTCATGGGCCCCTTCAGATATTGGAAGGCTGCTATGAGGTCTCCTTCTCTTCTCCAGGGTGAACAGCAGAAAATTTTTGCTCTGAGGCACATGTGAAAAATCTCACAATTTTGTGTTTTGTGTTCGCTGCTGATGAGCTCTCATCACACTACACACAAAAAAATTCTTGCTTCTACAGTAGCAAGATACTAGTTTTACCCCTGTACTGGTACTCAGATGCACACCAGGTTGGAAGCAACATAATCCCAAACCCTGTATGAAGGTCCTACACCATTCGTTTTCACACAGAGCCAAAATAGCTGGAGCATCAAGCAAATGCATTGCAGCCCACCTGACCTCCAAGCTCAAGATGCCAAATGATTCAAATGGTATGCCCAGCCCTTCTGAATAACATAAAGAGAGATCCAGCTGAGATTTCAGTTCTCTGCCAAGTTTTGCAGCAACAATCTCTTTTCCTTTTCTGCTAGAAGCTGCTTAGACCCCTATCCTAAAGTAAACAGTTCAGACATCTATCTGAAGGGCACAGTAGTGATTTAAACAATCATCATTTTCTAAGACCTTGCAATAAAGGACTTACTGTTGTGTTTGGATTTCCCATTTTCCAAATGCACCAGTTTTCCATCCGCTGAAAAATGTTCCCAGTTTCATTTTTAACTTAAATTTTATGTAGGAAGAAAAGAAAATTACTCAATTCTTAACAAGAGTCTAATATATTTTCTCCATATTCTTCATTTATGGTAAATATTAAAAATGTAGATGCTCAGAAAAGGTTTTTGGCAGTATATATCAATGCGGCTCACAATCTAATGTAATAACTCAGTGTGAAAGATATGTTTTATTGGCCTAGAACATCCTGGAATATGTATTTCATAGCTATACTTTATTTAATGACAGAGAAAAGATGATTTGCAATAGGCTGCTGTTGCAGAAATCATTTTCAACTGACCAGTAACTGTATTTTGTGGTTGTAGAAATGAACAGAAGACAAATACTACTTGAAAGAACGCACCCTTTATGGTGATGTCATCTTGTTTTTGTGTATCTAACAACACACACATTCAGTTCAAGGAAAGCGGTCATATTCTAGGTGTGTGTAAGTTTACACAATATTTAGGGGATTTGCATGCTGACTAGCATTGAACCTAGGGCTAAGACTAGTTGCTGTTTTAAAAGTATTGCTACCTGTTTTAACTGCATTAACATTTTCTTCAGAGGACTTTACAATCATGTTTCTAATTTTTAAGTAGAATCTGATCATGGTGCTTGAAAGGTCTTCAGGTATCTAACTCCAACTTAATTTTCTATTGGAAAATAAATTGCACCTTTCCCCTGACTAGACCTTTCAAAGTGCAACCATCTTTGCATTAAAAACACTAAAGCACTCTTTTCTACAACAGTTTAAGCCATTTTGGTGTAAAATGGTAAATATCAATATGTACAAATACCTGATGGGGTAGAGAACATGAAGCCAGACTCTTCCCAGTGATACTCAATGATACTTCAATACAGCGCGTGTACTATACGTACACTGATGCGTGGCACATGTCCTGTGTGTGCTGCAACTTTGGAATTCTCACTGAGGATATTTGACTGGTTTTCCTCCTTTCTCAGCTAAAAATTCTCAGAGACCAGTTTGGAAGATGCTTGGGTGTGGAGGATGTGGTTGAGTTAAAGTTTAATACAAGTTGACAATTATTTGTATCATAGACAAGGTCACTGTGCAAGGCCCTGAGCTGGCTAATTCTGAAGTAATAAATAGACAAGTCAACACCCGTAGATTTTCCTAGTGTAGTTTCCAATGCTAGGTAACCTTGCTTAGGAGAGCAAAATGAAAACAGAAATAGAAATGAATTCTCAGTCTCATTTCTGAAGCCTTAAGTACCGTTTGAGTGTGCTCCATTTAAAGCATCAATCAAACCCCCCATGGTTGTTTTACTGTTCATCAAGAATATTTGGAAGTCTGGAAAATCAACACTACCCAGCTGTTTCTCCAGCAGGTCAGCCATATATTTCAAATGACAGCACTGCATAGGTATGTACATCAATATCTAAGAGAGCAGATGGCTTTATGTGTGTGGTCATTTGATTACTATCTCTCTCAACTATCTCAAATCCAGTCAAAAAAGACTGGATGCATGCCTTCTAGCTGCAGTGATTTCAGAAGGCTCCTGTCAAAGTACAGCTGGAGCGAATCAGCTCACAGGATTGATGTCTGTTGGGTATCAGTTTTGTTTCCCATAAAAAATCAAATACCAAATCCTGCACTGAGCTAACTGTAACTGCCAGTATACTGTGCCATGCTTGCCTTAAGACATCTTCCTGTTCTCTGATTCCTCATTTTATGCTTTTCATCACAACAATGCTGATGTACTGCAGCCCACAGGAGTGAGGACATACTACATTGTGCTAGGATTCCTTTTGAGGGTTTTGTGGGGGAAAGAGGAGGGTGACATTCTTTTTCCTAAGTGCAGGAGGATTCAGGCTCTCAGTGTGACACACTGTAGCCAATCAATCAGACCACATTGTGTGACTCTATTCATCTACCTCTCACCTCCCATCTGCTCATTTTTCTCTAATTCCTTTCCCATTTCACCAGCAGCTCAGGGCTGTTCATCTCCAAATTATTCATTCCCTTTATAGAACATAATAAGCTTTTTCTTAAATCACACCTGTGAATGTTTGTATTGACAAGGTCTGTGTGGCATTTGTTTTTCACCTTCCTCATTCCCCATCAGCCTCCAGAGCTGTGCTCTGCAACACACCTCAAGACTATGTCTTCATCAGGTGGGAAAACCAAGGACCTTCTCCCAGTATTACAGAGGCAATGCAGATGTGCAGATGTGTAATTGTGCTAAAAGGTACTCTTTTATCATTGAGAGCCCTTGAAAATCAAATGCATGGGCAAGGCATCTTGAAAGACGTGTATGCTCCCACAGGTGGTGCAGGCAGATGTCGGCAAGCTCTGCTCAGCAGCGCACA